AACAATCTTAGAAAGTACATACAACTGGGAAAAAGACGTAATTATTAGTACTTATCAGGTTTATCGAACCCATGCATGCGAAGCGAGTTTTTTGTTTTTGAAAGGGAACATTTTTCGATGGTTTTTTCCAAGCTGTCACACATGTAAAACAAGATGTCCACTAAGGGATTAATAATACACATTCGCGGCAAGAGATTGTATGGTGACAAAAGTAGGTACTTCTTTGCCAGATGACTTTAGGGATGTAAATTAAATAAAGGTCATGGTGGCTCGGAGGTTGAAGCTCCCGCTTCTTATGCATGAGGTTCATCATCATCATCATCAGCCTCCACTGCTGAGCAAAGGCCTTTTCTCATACGGAGAAAGTTAGAGCATTAATCACCACGCTTGCTCAATGCGGATTGGCGATTTCAAACTTATAATTAAAAATTATAAGTCCAGGTTTCCTCACGATGCTTACCATCACTGTATGTCAGTGGTGTCTAAATAATCATAGAAAGTACATATAACTCTTGCCAGGTTTCGAACCCTCAAGCATGAGAAGCGGGTTCCTTAACTTCCGGGCCACCACGACTTTTTTGAATGTCGAGGTTAGATATCATGAGGTTGCAGGTTTGAAACCTGGGAAGTTCAAATGTGATTTTGTAATTATATGTACTTTCTAAATGAACATAGAGTGTGTAGACATAATTAACTAAAGTTGAAGGGAAACATCGTGGAGAAACCTGAACTTATTATATTTAAGCTTGAAATTACCGATCCGCATTAAGCAAACGTGGAGAATGTACTTAAACCTTCTCCGTACTAGAAAAGGCCTTAGCTCAGCAGTGGGCACTGATAATGATGATAATAAAATTAAAGTGGTGCACACTGTTGATTTTTTTTTTTGGATTTTCCTCTGTGTCGTGTATGCGTTTGCAGACATACTACAATTTCACTGACACCCAGACCCGAAATAACAATGTGATAATCACACAAAGAGTGGTAACGCGCGGGAATCAGACCTGCGACACGTCACACGGCAGTCTTATTGTGTGTACAAACTACAAACTTATCAGGTTAGTAGGTTTGTAATACATATATTCACCTTAAATGGAATTTTCAATTTAAGCTCATTGATTTCAATCACAAAAGACTCGATGACGTATTGTCCAATACTAAAACACACTTGGGTAGTTGGTGACAAACTTTCAATGAACTTCCTCGGGCGCCGACTTGGGGCCAACTTGCCGCCAACTTGGATCCAAATTGGTGACAACTTCGGTTATTAATCACAAACGGATGGCGTTGTATTAAGTGTTCAATGTAAGTAAGTAAGTATGGCTAGGTAAAATTGTGTAAGATGGTATACCAGCTTCTGCGGTTGGTTTTGATCGCAGAACCAGTGTAAAAGAAGGCTGTTTCTGTGAAGCAGCGATGCTCGTACAGAAGGAGGGAACTATCCTCTTCCTTCTGGCATCGAGTATCAAGCGACGATCTACAGCAACCGTAAGCCCGAGTCTGCGGACAGCGAAAAACATCGGAAACGTGGCTATCAGACCAACCTGAGCCACCCATCCCATTTAAAACAGGGGTAATAAGCCTATGTTTCATTCCAGGGAACATATTTCAAGTTTGGGACAGCCATGCTTCGGCACCAATGGACCACGGCCTCAATGGAAACCGGTGTGAAGTTAATACTTACATTATGTTTCGTCGTGTGAGTGAGTGTATTATAATGGTTTTTACGTAGAAGTGTAACAAACATCTTCAACTTTCGTGTATAAATATTAGTATTTTTACTACGGATTATTAATCTGTTATTGATTTACGAAGTAAACCTTATTTACAACGAAACCATCAAAGTGCGATTAGCTAGCTGTGACTAATCGCCCATTATGTTTTCACTGCTATAATTAGGATTGAGTAAAATAGTTTCTAGGAATTCGTGTTCGAATCTGGACTGGATTATAAATACAAATAAATATATGTTTACTATGTTACTTAGCTAATCTATACTATATCCAAACTAATATTATGAATGCGAAAGTAACTCTGTCTGTTTGTGTGTCTATTCTTCACGCCTAAACTACTGAACCGATTTCATAACATTTATCTGACTATTGAAAAATCAGCCCTTATTAGTGGCGCAGCTCAGCATTACACCATTACAACTATCGGCCGAATCCAATTTGCCGAACGCCAAACAATATCGGCGAACAAAAACGTCGGCAATCATAAATCATTGGACGTTAGCGGGGGCCACATAAATCTGTGACGTCATCAGCTCGTATCGGACCATCTCGAAACAATTAAGCAACGTACAGATTCACGTCACGGCTCCATTCTGATCGATGCGAATATTGTGCGGAGTCGTGATAAAAATAAGGAATTAAGTAAAGTGAAGTGTGGGAGAGCCAAGCTGCAGCACGAAGCCCGCTCGACCAGAGTGATAGCTTAGTTTCGCCATGTCAGTGAGGTTACCAGGGACTCAAACGTTCCCCAATCCCCAATCTTGAATTCCCTAACAACGTAACTGTTCTCACATAATCGAACCAAATTAATGTAACAAAGCATCTGTATAATGAAACTTATTGAAAAAGAGTATCCATGGAGTTTTTTGCTCGTTCTTCTCCATTGCAATGTAGGTAAACTTTGGAATAAGCAAATAGCTTCATTGAGAGGATTGACGGACAGTCTGAAACTTTCTATCTATAAGCTTTGTTTGACGTTAAAAAGTATCTGAAAGGGTCTTCTTGAAATCAATGATCTTGACTTTGATTTTGACTTTTTTATTTTAGTATAATATAGCTCAACCTATTAAAAGCGCGTTAAAAATATATCAAATGCAGCAAATGAGTGAATACTAAGGTTTGAAGAAGGTTAAAGAAAATCATCATAATCATCCTATAAGTGCTGCTGAGCAAAGGCCTCTTCTCATACGGAGAAGGTTAGAGCATTAATCACCACGCTTGTTCAGTGCGGGTTGGCGATTTCCAACTTATAATTAGAAATCATAAGTCCAGGTTTCCTCACGATGTTTACCTGCACCGTATGTCAGTGGTGTCTAAATAATCATAGAAAGTACATATAACTCGGAAAAAGTCACATTGGTACTTGCCAGGTTTGGAGCCCACACCTTCATGCATGAGAAGCGGGTTCTTTAACCTCCGGGCCACCACGACATCATTAAAGGAAATACTCTACCCCAAAAAGAGAATAAAATAAAATCTGGAATGTCAAAATTCTCTCTGATGCTTTTAGAGTTTTCATGCTTGATCTCCGAAGGAGGAGGTAGTGTTGTAGAAGGCTTTTAGATAACATAAGGAGTGACGCGGGAGTGCCGTGACTTTGTACAGACGTGATGTTGAAACAAATGGTTCGGATCATAGACCAGGAGACCGCCTCCAATTCGGAATGAAGACAAATCTTTACTCCAATAATGCCAATGCAAAATGTAGGCCTTCTTAAATGGTCGGTAACACACTAGTGATCTATCTTGGGTGTCCATTGGCAACGTTGATTGCTTACGAAAGGGTGATTTTCCTGCTAGTTCTTTTACTTTTCCATTAAACTAATGGCATTCTTGGACATCAAACTAAATAAAAGGTCTGATAATATAATCAGTCCTCTAGTGAAACTCCCTTCTAGGAAACTTTGGTTTCGTATGGAGAAGTAAAAGCTTTTTTTTTATATAGTTCGGCAAACAAGCATAATGATTACCCGATGGACATCCGCAACAACAGAGCAGTTACGAGTGCGTTGCCAACCTTTTGGGGATTGGGGATTTGGAGATTTAGGGATTAGGGTGGGATTGAGGGAGGGAAAGGATTGGGCCTCCGGTAACCTCAGTCGCACGGCGAAACACAACGCTGTTATGGAAATTCAATGGTTACTCTTTTACAATTGGATTATTTATTATCTTATTAAGCTGAATAGTGAAAACAATGGAACGAAATAATAAAGAATTTTAGAATAAAGAAATTTAATCATCTTATTTTAATAAACAGGCTTCAATTTTAATAAATCAATAATATCTTTCTATTTCACTTTTTCATTTGGTACCTAAGACTAAAATTTTCTATATATTCTGTTCTTTATTGAAGACATAAGGGGCTAAAAATATCTATTACATTTCAATCGAGTAGATATTATATATACACTTATCACCTAAAAGAAGGCAATCGTTGGGTATTTGATGATTATTCGACGCTGAACGTGAGGCTTTTTTTAGAAAGCTAACATTATAAAAGGGCTTATCGGCCTGTGTAAGGCGACAGAGACAGTCAGACTTTTACTGATTAGAAATCCCCCATTCATTGTCCTACTGCAGGCCGAGGCCACGGTACCCCGCAACCCCGGCTGAACATCAGCGCTGTTGGGTCCATCTGTAGTAATCAATGGGTGGTATCAATCTAGACACGTACACGGCACATTTATGTCAAAGCACAGTTTTCCCATACTAAAATAGTTTTCATATATTTGTCTTCAAAAAAGCACAACCACTAAAACTAAAATATTTTTCTTATTCATGTTTGAGAGTGTATTACATGGCGTTCGTATGAACAATATAAATTGTGGAACATCTGTTTATCCTCTGTTCTGTCACCATATTTTATTATGACGTCGAGCTTTCCGGGGATTTTCCACTTCGGAGACCAACAGTGCCTAGTGTAATGCGGCCAGGTTATGCTTTCTAATGTAACCTACTTATAAAAGTAGTTTTTTTGCAAATTCAAAAAGCTTTTGTTAGCGTGTGTGTGTGTGTGTGTGTGTGTTGTTTTTTAAGGGGGTAAATCATCCACACATGTCTCCTGCCCTTTTTTTGTCAGGGGAAAATCATCAAATGATTTCTTCCGCTTAGGGTTAGGCGTTAGGGGTTAGGCTGTCAGACTCTTACTGACTAAAAACCCCCCGTTCCTTCTCCTGCTCTGGGCCGAGGCCGCGGTGATTCATTACGCTTAACCTTATAGCAACCCGTCTGTGGTAGTCCATTGGCTCTTTGAGGCGGACGCGAAACGCTACACGCCGTACGCTCGGGTCTGGTTCTGGTCGGGCGGCGAGCTACCCGTACTCGCCGACCGCAGACCCGCGCTCGTCTCCTGCCCTGAGTCTCCAACGAGAGGTAATGTCTTACTAACTAAAAACCACACCGTTCCAACTCCTGCTATGGTTCATGCCACCAAAATTGCGGTTCGGATTCGGGTTGCAACACGTAACAATATGTGATCCACAATTTTTTCTTGAAAGTTTGTGTATATAAAATGTGTGTTAATAAACGTGCCGTGTTTATTAGATAATTATCAACGACATTTTTAATTTATACCCCATACAGCATGTAAATAGAATAAATAATTTGTTTCACTTCTTTGTTTAGACTAAGAAGAAAAAGTAGGCATTCGGTTGTCTAGCTCTTGGCCTAAGTCACATAATAAATATATAAGAGAGCGGCGGGAAGGCCGATCCTCGCGACGTATTCGCGTTGCACCAAGCCAAATAGAATTTTTGGCAGCATATTTCAAGAGTTGTTTATACCACTATGGAAAATATGTCATATTTTATAAACTTTTTTTATTTAATAGATCGACAAACGAACAGACGGATTACCTGATGGCAAACAATTAGCGCCGCCCATGGACACCCGTAACATCAAAGCAGTCACGAGTATGTTACCGGGCTTTTGGTAATAATAGGGTATGGGATGGTTAAGAATTGGGGAGAGAAGAAGGGATGGGAAGATTGGCCCTCCGGTAACCTCACTTACACAGCAACACACATCGCTGTAAATGTTTCACGCCGGTTTCTTGTGAGGCCGTGGTATCACTCTAGTTGAGCCGACCCATTCGTGCCGAAACATGGCTCTCCCACACTTATTTTTATTTTGTTTAACTAGTTTGTATGACCACCAATGCGAAGCTGTACTCTTAATTCATAAAAATATCTCTAATGTGTCTAATTACCTGATAAAAACTGGTTTTCAAAAGTATTTTCATTATTCTATTATGTGTTTGAAAACAAAACTGGAATGTCTACTTGAAAAGAAATAAGTCCACATAATGATGAGAGCACCAGAGAGCGCCACGTACAAAGTCGGCAACATTTCAGGATCTGGTGTGTCCATAGTGGCGCCGATTGCTTACCATGAGATAATCCTGTTAGTTTGCTTGCTCATTGAAAGCATATAATGGCTTGCATCCACCAAATAGCAGACGAATGCCCTGATCAGACATCAGCAACGCCCAGGAGTAAGCTCTTGAAGATCTGCTATTTATCCTTTGGGGTTGGTATTATCATCTCTAAATGAGTTCTCATGTAGCATACCCGATGGTTGCATTCAGAATGCGCCGGGCCATTAGATTTACAACGCGCCGACGAGGCGGCCTACATAACTATTATATTATGCATTCGCCTATGTACTAGAGATATGCTTGTACATGACCCTCATATACAATTTATTGTTTTATAACGATTTATTTAGAACGTACCGTATCTTATTGACTTGGGTGTGTCTACAAATTGCAGACAAAAAGTCAAATACACTCTTCACGACGTCTACTCCTCCTGCGGGTCTAAAAGCCGACTAAGGGCCTTCTTATTCTGACCTACCCCTTCTTTCCTTGGGAAGTCTCCTACCTTTGTGTCAGACTATCACTCATTTGTTTTGCTTGTAAATTGCCACTTTTTTTTCCTGACAATATGATCCTTTTTTTTTCAGGACAATAACCACTACAATGAAAAAGAATTTAACGAAATCGGTTCAGCTCTTTGAGGCGCGCGCGGCACGCTACGCGCCATACGCTCGGGTCTGGTTCTGGTCGGGCGGCGAGCAACCCTTACTCGCCGTCTGCCGTGATCATCTCTCGATCCCGGACGGCCGGAGTGTCGCCTACTGCGGCTGCTGGGGTGTGAAGAGGAGGATAGCTCTCTAACGCGGTCCACCTCCTTCTTTGCGAGTATAACTGCTTCACAGAAAGAGGAGACGGCGTCCCATTTCCTGTCGCTCCGCACCATGGCCTCGACTAAGGCCGGAATATATCATATGGTGCAGTGTACTGTTAAGTCAACCTAAATGTCTATTTTAGAGTTTATTATGGAACTTGAATAGGGAAATGAACAGAGTATTGTTTTTCCTCGTTTAAGCTTTAATAATGCGTCCACATTGTTCATAATGTCCCTTCTCTTGACACTCAAACTGTTACCTATTATCTCTATACTATAATATTATAAAGCTGTAGACCTTGTTTGTTTGTTTAAACGCGCTAATCCCCGGAACTGCTGGTTTGAATTTAACAATTCTTTTTGTGTTTGTTAGTCCATTTATCGAGGAAGGCTGTAAGCTATAAAACATCACGCTACAACATGTAGGAAACCGCGGGACAGCAGCTAGTATATTAAAATAAGCTATTAAAGAATATACAGTCTAATGTAAAACCTTTAATGCGGAAGCGAGACACCGATATACCGAATGCGTAACACTGTCTCACTCTACCGCACCATTCATAACTCCTACAGTTTCTAGCATCTTAAATGTTGTCTCTGAAGAAGGAGTACCTGCCTATAAAATTGATTGATACTCTAATAAAATTGTTCAGTTCCACCTAGCATAGTTCTCTGGGGAAACAGGGCCAAACTATCGCTGTAACACACACATATTATAAGGCAGAACTTCCTCAAAAACTATTAACTTTCAAGGTTTAACATGAATAGTGATTTTTAACGCATGCAGATAAAATCATCAGACTACATCTTCTACCCAGGGTGAGAGGGAGTGTTAGACTCTTACTGACTAAAACACTCCGGTCCTTCTCCTACTCCATGCCGAGGCAGCGGTTTTTTTTTATGTAATAGATCGGCAAACGAGCAGACGGATTACCTGATAGTAAGTAATCAGTGCCGCCCATGGACACCCGCAACGGAGGATTTACGAGTGCGTTGCCGACCTTTTAGGGATTAGGGATTTGGAGATTTAGGGATTGAGGAGGGATTGGGGGTGGGGAAGGATTGGGCCTCATGTAACCTCACTCACACAGCGAAACACAACGGTATGGTTGTTTCACGCCGGTTTTCTGTGAGGCCGTGGTATCACTCCGGTCGAGCCGACCCATTCGTGCCAAAGCATGGCTCTCCTACACTAAAAACCTGGTTGCCTGAACATCGACCCTGTTGGGTCCCATATGTGGTTTTCTACCGGTTCTTTGAGGTCTATTGGCTCTATGCAGATTGGTGAATTAGAATATTTGTTTCTTTTAAAGAAATAATTGTTTCATTCAACTTTCATTTAAATTATAGACTCGGCACGAATGGGTTGGCTCGACCGGAGTGATACTGTAGCGACATCTATCGCACAACAAGAACAACAGCACCAATGACGTGCAAGATTCTACATCGCACTATAAGAGTTTTCAATGCAATTAGCACCGATATAAAAATCCCGATAACAACCGTCGGGCAGTAGCCCACCAGCCCACCAGACACAACACCCGTCTGGTCGGAGGATCCTCCCTTTTCAATGAAGGATGAGGAACTTTTCACCCTATTCTCTCATACGTCTAAACGGCGCCACAGAAAACCGGCATGAAAAAACCACAGCGTTATGTTTCGCTGTGTAAATGTGGTTACCGGAGGCAAAATCCTTCCCTTCCCCCAATCCCTCCCTAATCCCTAAATCTGCAAATACCTAACCCCCAAAAGAAAGATCGGCAAAGCACTCGTAACTCCACTGTGGTGTCAATGGGTGGCGCCGATTGCTTACCATCAGGTAATCCGTCTGCTCTTTTGCCGACCTATTACATAAAAAAGTTAAAAAAACAGACGGAAAAAAACATGTATCAGAATTTGAACTTGGCTCTTATTTCACATAAACGTTTTTGATAGACAAAAACTAGGAAATGTGAAATAAGACACCCACTAAGCCAATCTGCAATTATGATGGACCACGCCATAGCGTTACGCCAGTTGGCGCGGTGGCTGGGCAACTGGCTGCTGTACAACGTGTCGCGGGTTCGATTCCCGCACGGAACAACACTTTGTGTGATCCACAACTTGTTGTTCCCGGTCCGGATGTGTCGTGAATGTGAAATATGTATGTTTGTAAACGCACCCATGACGCAGGAGTAAATCCTAGTGTGGGGCAACGTTTTAGTAAATAAATAAGAAAAAAAATTGTCACTGACAAAAGACCTTCAAAGAACTTGTTATTTCGGCAATAAGGATCAAAATCATTAAAATAAGTGCCAAGTTAATCATTAAATATTTATTTTTGCTTACAATAATTATAATATTTGCTTACAATAATAATAATTATAATATATGTATAATAATTCTTATGACTATTAAACACTATTTACACCTCATGTTCTGTTAATTACCGAAGTAATCGTTGACCTTATGTAGCAGCTAATAAGGTTGAAATTAAACCGCGTATTACGTGCTTGAACTGCTGTTTCGTATATACGAACTGATCCGAACTGAACATACAAAAAAGTTACATACTTATATTTATAAGTCGTTCTAACAAAACCATAGCTCGTCCTTAATTGCGACAACGCCATCTAGTTATAAAATATGAATTAAATAAATGGATATGAATATTACCTACGGTTTTGTTACTTTTGTATTTGGTTAAGGTCATCAACAGCTACCAAACTTAACATGTCACAAATATAGAAATCGTGGATTGCTTCCCATGAATATGAGCCCCTAGAGTGGGCTTGAAACTAATATGTTGGGGAAAAAGTCTTTTCGTAGTATAGTGCGTATGTACTTGTGATAAAATCTCTGCATGGCAGTGTCAGGTTAGTATTCGAGAGGACTTGACCTTGACTGGACCAAAATCACTTGTTTTTTATTATATTATAGGTCGGCAAAAGAGCAGATGGATTGTCTGATGGTAAACAATCGGTGCCGCCTATGGACACCACCAACACAATCCCTATATAAACATGATGGCAAAAACTTATCGAACAAAATGGGACCTACATACTTTAGGTAAATGTAAATGAATATAAAAAAAACCTTTGAATTTTCATTTAAAAAATGTAAAAGAAACTTTTTCTCCGACCTATTACTTGCACCTTAACTAAGAAGAGATATTACAATTAAGTTGTGTATATTTAGATCCTAAAAAAGACACGTCACTAATAAGTCATTTATAATAATAAATGACGTCATAGTTTTTTTGCGGCAAATAGTTAACTTATTTTTTATAATAACTATCGTGAGACATACTAAATTAACTAAAAATCGCGGGTTACTCACGTGTAAATATTGAGAAAAGCACTACTAGTTTCGAACAACAGAGGGGTTCTTCCTCATGAGCAGCGTGCGCGGACGCGGCGACGTCGCGCAGCCTACTGGTTAGCGTTGGCGCGGACTCGAACCCACTACCCGCGCCACTGGTGATCGTACCGTGCGCCTCAACATCGTCACACGCGTCGCCACCGGAGATGGAAGCAAACGCGCGTAGTATCCGCCAGATGGCGCGTTGGACTCGCCGCAGCGCAACCATCAACAGCGATGCAGGCGCCAACGCTAACCAGTAGGCTGCGCGACGTCGCCGCGTCCGCGCACGCGGCTCATGAGGAAGAACCCCTCTGTTAATTTAGTTAACTTATTTCTTAAAAATTAGCTACCAAAATATCTAAAATTCAGTGTATCGATCGATCGATTAATAAAAATATTTTATTGTATTGAAACGTCGAATTAATTTATTTTTGACCTAAAAAATTACCCAATTATTTGCAAGTAACAGATGTCATTTCTTTTGTTCATGTAGGTACTATAAATTATAATTATTGAACTGTCATCATCGACTAATACAAACCAATAAGATGATTTTTATTTTTATATTTATCTTATCCACAGATCTTATCCTTCAAGGTGACGTTTCCATGTACAATATTTTCCCGCCATAAGTTATCCAGATAGCGTTGTCATTATTTGACGTTTTATAATTTGGCTTCCGATAAAATAAGTTGGTCGCAGACAATTTTTTCAAAACAGGCCATAATTCTCTAATTTTAGGCCTCTTAGGATAGTGTGTTTTAGTATTCCTATATTTATGAGCACGGAGTGAATCTATAATTTTTGTTTCCTCGCCGTAGGCGCTCAATCTAAATTTAAAACCACTTTCAAAAGAGATTTCGACATAAAAAAATAATTCTATGAATTGAACTCCGGCGAGGCATACTGGATTTGGTTGTTCTGCGCACCACCTTCGTAGCGTCAACTTAGGTCGGCTAGTATGCCTGCGAGATATGTATTGTGCTTGGATGTCCATGCATGAATACTCGATATTGCCAAGAAGCGTCAACTGAAACATAAAAAACAAATATGGTTCCTCCTTCCATTACCCCAAAAGTACATCCGAGATGGCACTTATAGGCTGACGATGATGCTGCCGGTGATCGGTGTACGTATGGACATAGAAAATTATGATGGACAAATGGGCCTTCTCGAATCCAATGTTGCCGGGGACTTACGGAATCCTTGGCTGTATTTCGCCGTGTGTGATCGCCGATAAAGTGGTAGCTTGAAAAAAAACTAATACGTACGTTATATCTATAGGTTCCTGGGGTTTCATCTTTCATGATTGTTTCATCGTTGAAGATTTCATAAATTTTCTCTCCACCGTCACACGCCCCAAACCTTTGGATCTTGGATGTGGCTAAAAAGATAAAAACTAAATGAATTAATAAACAAATAAATAAATGAAGAAATAAATAAATAAAACCGTTCTAAATACTCGTAGAACCGCTTGGAAGTTTATTTCCTTTCCGGAGTCTATGTTCCCCGAACCTGCCTTCAAGGCCCGAGTGAATACGTTGCTTATAATGGTAGGCGTGCTCCGTCGTAGGTCGCACGCATCATTGCTTATCACCAGGTATGATAAAGGCCAAATGCCTCATCCAAACCAATCCAAACTTCCAAACTAATATTATAAATGCGAAAGTAACTGTGTCTGACTGTCTGTCTTATCTTCACGCCTAAAGTACTGAACGGATATTTGTGAAATTTGGTACATAGTTTGGAACTCGAGAAAGGACATAGGATAGTTTTTATACCAAAAATATTCGGGAAGTCACTTTTGCACGCGAACGGAGTTGCGGGTAAAAGCTAGTATAACGATATAAAAAAAAATAAAGAAAAACATATGTATTTTGCATTTTTGTATCACAGAGTCTAGATATTTGAAGTCTCCATGAGGATAGGCAGATTCTTTAATATTTTACATGTAACCATAACGTTATTTAAAAAAGTGAACACAAAATTTAACTCACGTACAATTAATATCGTAGATAATATTTAAACAAATCAAATCTGAAACCGCTCAAAAACACTTACTCCTTCGCATGACGAGGTGATTTTCTGCAATTGTGGAGACAGCTGTTCTACCAATGTTCCTGAATGAGTCTTTCACCCACTTGTGGTACATGCCGTAATCCAGAAACCTGGCTGGAGCTTGACAACCAGGTCCGTACACTCCAAAACCTAACTGCAAATCAACAATATTATGAAGCTGGAGAGTTTGGTTGAACGTGCTAATTCTTTTTGTTTGTTAGTACATTTATTGAGGAAGACTATAGAATATCACGCTACGATTTGTAGAAGCCGAGCAGCGAGTGAAACCGCGCCAGAGCTGGTTCGAATTGAATAATCATCAATAAGGCCTCGTGTCACCGGGCTCGCCGTTATAGCAGCGATAAGACCTGCTTGCTGAAGAGCTTTGAGGAGTGGCTTGAGAGACGGCATAGCGTTCTCACCTTCCTCCTGACGTAACTTCTTACCGGGCACGGCAGCTTCGGTAGGTTCCTGTTTCGGATCCGGCGGGGAGAAGACCCAGATTGTGGTCATTGTGAGGACTACGAAGAGGACACGGTGGATGATGCGCTCCGATGTGCCCTGCTTGGACTGAGCACCACCATGTCCTCAAGGTTTTCTTTCTACGAAGCTATGATACTCGCAAAGGGGGTATTGAAGGTAGGAGGTGTTGTGTAATTATCATGCTGTTCATTATACATTGCTCATAATGTTCAGATGTTTGTGTTTGCGCATGCGATGACGCGTTCTTCTTCCGCAATGTATGTCAAACGCACAAAACGCCTCGCGTCGCCTCGCGTATGCGTGATAAATGTCTTGTACCATGTAATTAGGCAGGCGAAAAGAGATCTTAAGATGTTATCCCAAAAGTTGCGTTTCATTTAAACAGTAATACTTTACTAACTGCACTTAATTTTAACACTTTCTGTCTTTTTAATTGTTTATGTAACGGATGATAAATGTTGACACTGGTTGAACATTAAAACGATATACTACGTCCGGACCGTTTGAGCATTCAAGGTATTCTCGTAATCCAGTTGATGACTGGATTTTATTACTTGATCTGATCGTTTCTCTATCATCTGTGCACATAGAAGAAAGTCGTCTTAGTTACAATATTAAATTAATTTTACGCTGCTCCATTTGATCGTAACATGATGTTTTATAGCCTATAGCACTCAGGAACTATGTAGCTATCTATCAGTGAAAGAATTTTGGCAATCCGACAGTTCCAAAGATTACCCCCATATACAAACATACAAATTTTACCTCTTTATAATATTAGTATAGAAGAACCACTGAGCCGATTTCCTTCAGAATTGGTTAGGATATAGTTTAGAATTAGAATAAGATCATAGGATAATCATAGTCAGTTCCTTTGTTTCATTGTTTGTTTAGGTATAGGTACTATAGACTCTGGACTATGGAGATCACCCGGGAGATAAAGTAGAACAAATATGAAGTATAATTTACCAGTCTCCATCGCTGATCCACCTTGGTGACAAGTATGGCACCGCTGCGCCAAACACATTCATCCCCCATTACACTCTGAGCGCACGTCGTATGCGATGGCCATAGCGAATCAAAATCCAGCTAGTATATAAATTCAAAATCATGTATTTAAAATAGATTACTAAAGGCACTTTTGAACGTCAAACAAAAAATAAAAATCATAATAAGTCGCTACATGCTAGCGGCCGTTTTCGGTTCCCATTAATTGAGTTTGCCAGTCAGCCAGCCAGCCTGTTTATCCGTATGTAACAATATTGGTCAGGGGCAGGGGCCATAGTATTTCCATAGATATCATATACCAGTCATACATACAATACATAAAGCCACCCACACCCATAAAAATAGTCCTGCATCACTTGCAGGACGCACTGCAATGCACTTCGCCATTACTTTTATTTATTTATTTTATTACAATCACTCCACTACTCGTAAACTTTGCTGCCTGAGTTTTGTGTCCTGTGGCTGGTGGAGGGCAACTGTATCCTTGAGGGGGTACGCGACAAAGTGAACGAGAGCTCAGCACGGGTGTCACTAAATAGTACCTGTCTAGTATACCTACAAATAGCCAAAAACATTTTTCGATAACCCCCAGTTAATTAAAAAAAGAACATGTAGCAATTAACTCCCTTATGTATCATATTTTAAAAAAAGATTGTATTTACTTATTATGATATAAAATGTATTCATATCTGAATAATTTGGATAATATATTCACACACGCACACTTTCTTCTATATTCACATTATGTTTCTTACTTCTTTTCTTTACTGATTGGCGGTACCGCCGTCCGTGACGTGAGTCAGTGCAGGGTGCCACCTGAAAATCAGCGTTGAGCATATTTGCTCAACTATATGCTGAGGTGGAGGCCCTTTTGGCATGGGCACATGAATGTTATTATTTTAGCGTTTTATTTTCGTTTTTTTTTTTCTTTTTTAATACTTTATATGTTATTCTTGTTTTGTTTATTAATTTATTATTGTATTCATAAATACTGTGTTCTTATTATGTATTTTTATATACTTTGTGTGTGTATTTGTGTGCCTATTTGTCGAATAAATGTGTTTTCTTTCTTTCTTTTCTTTCTTTCTTTCTTTCTTTCTTTCATCAACCGGAGTTGGTCCTTGGTTGCAATTTCATAGTGCATACAGGGATAATTGCCGGCTGATGTCCCATCACATTTAGATTAGAACTGTTCGACGGGCCTCTGCGAGTTGGCTTCGGCTCCTCGTATGCCTAAGGATAAATAGTGGAGGAAGTAACAGGAAAAATTAAATAATGGTTTATTTAAAATGTTACATTATTTGATTGTTATCTTTACAGACAATAGACATTGAAGATTGGTTGTTAGAAAAATCAATGTTCCAATAGTTGATAGAAATGGACTTGTGATATTTTATATGGTATCATCATCATCATCATCAGCCTATAAGTGCCCACTGCTGAGCAAAGGCCTCTTCTCACACAGAGAAGGTTTGAGCATTAATCACCACGCTTGCTCAATGCGGGTTGGCGATTTCAAACTTATAATTAGAAATTATAAGTCCAGGTTTCCTTACGATGTTAACCTTCACCGTATGACAGTGGTGTCTAAATAATTATAGAAAGTACATATAACTCGGAAAAAGTCACATTGGTACTTGCCAGGTTTGGAGCCCACACCCTCATGCATGAGAAGCGGGCTCCTTAACCTCCGGGCCACCACGACCTCTTTATATGGTATAGAGTGGCAAACAAGGAAACGGATCATCTCATGGTAAGCCATATACCCCGCCCATGGGAAGACATAGACAACCGCAACACCAGAAGAGTTAGGGGTTCTGGGTTTAGGGATTTAACGAATGGCAATTTAGGTACTGTGAATAGTAAAGGGAGGATCGATCGGTTTGACTTCCGATAATCTCTCTTATATGACGAACCACAACGCAAACATGGTTTCACGCCAGTTTTTTGTAAGGCCGGCTCGACTCGGAGTGATACCACGCGTACCACTGGAGCCGGTCCATTCCGAAGCACATTTAAAAATGGTCGAACTCAACTTACCCCACTCTTTCTGTAGTAGTGCTTGCATTTGTCAAATGGTACATAAATCATTTTGTATACCCAAACTTCACCTTTCTTGCAATCTATAAAAATAAACAAGTTCATCTTACTAATGTTATAAATTCGAATGTTACGATTTTTGGATGTTTGTTAGATACTCAATCACGCCAAAACGGCCGGACGGGTCTGAATGAAATTTGGAACAGGCATAGGATACACTTTGGAATAGGACATAGGCTACTTTTTATCATCAGACTGCGTGGGCGAAGCCGCGGGTGGAAGCTAGTTTTAAATAGGACTGTACCTAAGATCATTTTGGACTGCTTAAAGAAGTCAAATTCATCGTCATAGTTCATATTCCAAATCCCTCGAACGCTCCGTTGACTATTTTACCTATGGGTTAGGTCAGCAAACGATCAGCTCGTTTGCTGACCTGGATTATCTGATGGTAAGCAATCGGCACCGCCCATGGACACCCGCAACACCAATGAGTTATAAGCGCGTTGCCAGCCTTTTAGGGGATAAGGGTTTCGGATGTTTAATGATTGAGAAGGGATGGGGAGAGGGAAAGGGATTGGGCCTCCGGTAACCTCAGTCACACGATGGACGGATGAATGGATGGACGCGACAGGCTCGTTCTTCTCAGAAATATACATATTTATAGGATAGAGCGGCAAACGAGGAGACAACTTATTCTGATGGTATGCAAGCGTCATCGCTAATTAACCACGCGGACATTGCCAGAATTTCGTGGCCAGCCTCTTGAGGATTAGGTACCTATTTGAAGATAGGGATTTGGGGTTTGAAGATTCGAGCTTCTCCGGGTTATTTACCCCGCTTCATTACTGCCTGCCCTTAATAATACTTACCATCAGCTAGCATCATCGTGTAGAAGGTCTCATTCTGGAAGTTTACCGGTGGCCCACATATAGGGTGTAATTCTGTAAAAAGTCAAAGCGAAAAATGTTATACATCATTACATTTATAATAATATATCTATATGTATATGTATAAAGATAATAGCTTTTTGTTGTATCCGTTATTTTCAGGAGTGCAAACTGTCTCTACATCTCTCTCTATATCTACATTATATATTTTAACACTTCCTTCACTAATCAATCGAAAGGAGCTTCGTTTCATCAGGGTGCCCCTTGTTTTTTATCACCTTAATATAACATACTTACTAAACGCGATGTGATCAGTTTCAAGCTGAATCATGGCTAGTGCATTGACCTTGTCTTTGAAGAAGTCCGGATGATACGTATACTCTCGTATGCCGACGTAAGGACTGTCCCCTCTGCAGTCATTACCCAAAACCACTCTAGCTAGTCTCCTGTTAAACAAAAAACTGATATGTTACTCTTATGATTACCAAAAAGTGGAAAATGTTAAGGATTATAGATAGAGGCCGGCTACTTCAGTACTAAATGGTCGGCTCCTGACCGGAGTACTATGCCTTCAAGACTATACCAAACACAGAAAACTGAAATGCAACAACCGCAACGTAATTTTTCACCTAGTTAGTGAGATTACCAGAGGCCCAATCCATCCATCCAAGAGAGGGATCTCTTGCCAATCTCTAAATCTACGAGTTTTTTTTTTTTGTAATTGGTCGGCAAACGAGCAGACAGATTACCTGATGGTAAGCAATCAGCGCCGCCCATGGACACCCGCAACGGAGGATTTACGAGTGCGTTGCCGACCTTTTAGGGATTAGGGATTTGGAGATTTAGGGATTGAGGAGGGATTGGGGGCGGGGAAGGATTGGGCCTCCGGTAACCTCACTCACACGGCGAAACACAACGCTGTGGTTGTTTCACGCCGGTCTTCTGTGAGACCGTGGTATCACTCCGGTCGAGTCGACCCATTCGTGCCGAAACATGGCTCTCCCATACTATCGAATTTCACGAATTTCAGAAAAATCTTCGTGGGCTTTTCTTTTTTTATATTAACTGTCGTGAGACATACTAAATTAATTATTATGTTTTCGACTTACTCACGTAATTGTTTGATGAGATACTCGTATTTGATAGCAGCGTGACAGTCGCCGCTTCGCGTGTCGCGGAATGCCTCTCATGAATATGGGCCTCTAGCATGGCTTGAAACTAGTCGAGTATCCCGTCAAACAATTACGGGATTCTTATTCATGAGCAACGTGCACGTCGCGACTCAAGTACAGCAAATTCTCGTTATTTTCAATAATCCTACGACACAATAATTTATCTAAAATGTCACAATTACCTGATGTGTTCCTTGGGCAATTTATCGATTTCATTCGCTGATGCTAGCGCCATCTGTTTGGTGACCAATACTACTGAAGTTGTAAACTTTTTCTTACCTAAATTTTAAATGAACATGCATTACAAAAGAATACGAATGTTATAGGTATTATATATAACCTTTAGACTAACATGACAGGCTACAATAGACAATACACACAAAATGGACTAATTTGCCAATGTTAGCATAACCGACCAGAAAACGTTATACGAGTAATTAAGTACATTTTATTTGTCATCTATAGCCGACCGTAGTCGAAAGGGTTAAAATTCTTAAATAATAATAATAAGCAGAGACCAGTGCTTACCTCGAGGATAAATTAGCATTCCAAGCCAAGGATAAGTCCCAATATTTGCTGTACCCATATACAAGTTCGATATTGGTGAAGTGTCCATGCCACAATTCATAGACAGCACTGGGTGCCATGAAACAAATATTAAACAAAATAAGTTTAATAATTTACGAAAAAATGATAACTCGATAAAATCGACGTAATTTATGTAATCAGCAGCACTATCTCCGACCAACGTAAGCATGGGGCTACAGATGGTAGGCAAGAGTAGCTCGTAGCCCGACCCGAAACTAGCGCGTGTCACGTTCCGCGCGAATCTCAAAGATCAACATGATGCATCCGGGCGGCTGAAAAACGTCCGGATGTCGTCATTGTAAGAACAATCCGGAGGACACGTTGAAGCATACGGTGGCGGTGAACCCTGATTGCGCTGAACTTCGCCGTGTCCTCAGGTAAGTCGTCGGCAGCGGCGACCTCACACGTCCACCCGACGCAAGTAGAATTGACAAGCAAAGAAGAAGGCGGAGCGAGTGAAGAAACTATCCTACTCACACTGGGATGTTCACCGGGGTTGCAGGGCAAGCACAATAAGGCTTTTAGAGCAGGAAAAGAAACCCAAGCGTACGGCGCGTAGCGTACCGCGCGCGTCTCAAAGAGCCAATAGACCACCACAGACCCTATAGGACTGATGTTCAGCCGGGGTTGCGGGGTAAGCGTAGTGAGACACCGCGACCTTGGCCCAGAGCAGGAGAAGGAACAGGGGGCTTTTTAGTCAGTAAAAGTCTGACACTTCCTCCCGCCCGGTCCTGGGCGGAAGAAGTCATTTGATGATTTTCCCCTCACAAAAAAAAAATCTTCTAATTCTGCGAAGCAGTGATGCTTGCAAAGAAGGAGGCAGAGCGAGTGAAGAAACTAGCCTACTCACGCCCCAGCCGCCAGTAGGCGACATTCCGGGATGTTCACCGGGGTTGCAGGGCAAGCGCAATAAGGCTCTTAGACCAAGAAAAGGAACTGGGTGGTTTTTAGTCAGTAAAAGTCTGATACTCCGTCTCGTCTTACCACGGGCGAGAAAATCCATATAATTATTGTTCCCTAACAAAAAATAAAAGGCACAGATATACCCCGAAAGGCTCTATGTTTCCACATTTGTGATAAGACTGACCAAATTTGTATGGGACCATAATGTTTATAGATCAGGAGGCAAACTAGCAGTCGGAACACCTGATAGTAAGTGATCAGCACCGCCCATGGTCACCCATAACATCAGTGGAAGACCAAACTCATCTCTTAACTACTTTACTTTTTTGAATAAGAAAATATTTATTCAATAACGACGATCTTGAGGAAACATGCCTAAAAAATTTGAATACGGTTTACTTAAACGAACGAATAAGAAAAAAAATCTACTCATAAAGAAAATTACAAAGTTCAAAAATCTAAATGAAAGTTAAATGAAAGTAATTAAGTGTTGGAGAGCCAAGCTTCGGCACGAATGGGTCGGCTCGACCGGAGTGATACCAGAAGACCGGCGTGAAACAACCACAGCGTTGTGTTTCGCCGTGTGAGTGAGGTTACCGGAGGCCCAATCCTTCCCCGCCTCCAATCCCTCCTCAATCCCTAATCCCTAAAAGATCGGCAACGCACTCGTAACTCCTCCGTTGCGGGTGTCCGTCTTACCATCAGGTAATCCGTCAGCTCGTTTGCCGACTTATACCATAAAAAAAAGTTAGAAGTCAAATAAAAATACTAAACTACATACTTAACACGTACCTTCATTAAAAAACAATGGTATACACATCCAAATTTCTAGAAACTGCATCGTCGATATGAACACTCCAAACAGAAACAGTTTAAGCACAACGATTTTAGGACCACGTTAATTAAAACCTTATATTTAAAGACATAAGAAATTTTATAATTTTAATATCAACGCAGACCAGTAAACATACTGAATTTTGACTGTAAATCACTACTTATAAATAATGATCGGTACAATTTTCGAACACACCGATGTGTGTCTCGAACGATACCCAAATATGAATTGAAACAAAATGCGACAAATTCGATTATTGTTGTTTAAACAGCTTATTTGTAAATTCTCATTGCACAGTAAGTACAAACAAAGAACTAGATATTATCCAATATCCGATCGCAACAAACGTAGCTGGGTAAATATTTGAAGATAGAGATTCAAGGTTCCCAAATTATTAATTTGCAAATTAGCTACTGTTGCGTGGTTGCACCCGCTGCTTAGCTCCATTTAATCGTAGCGTGATGTTTTATAGCCTATAGTACTCAGGAACATTGTAGCTATCTATCAGTGAAAGACTTTTGGCAATCCGACCAGCGGTTCCAAAGATTACCCCCTACATACAAACTTACAAATTTTACCTCTTTATAATATTAGTACAGATAGATAAAGTAACGAAGATCAGAATCTAAAAAGCGATTAATTGTGTACTGCCATCTATTTAAAAGATTTATTATTAGAGATATAGATACATATTAAGGCGGAAAACCATTGTATTCCGTGTGAGTCGGTTACATTGCAAAGTCATATTACGCGGCATAAACTATAATAAAACTACACAAAAATTACAAGAGACATACACAAAACAGTAAAGTCTGCCATAACTTAGCTAACTCTCTGACGGCCAATCATACATAACATAACGCCACAGGGCGCGTCATTGTTTTTGTTTGTTTTTTTTTTTTTTTTTAAACGTTGTCCTTTACTAGCATTTTCTCCTGTGTCGTGGGTGCGTTTACAAACATACAATTTCACATACACATGACACCCAAAACCGAAACAACAATTTATGGATCACACAAAGTTTTTTTTTTGTAAAAGTGCTGTTTTATAGCCTATTTGCAAAAATAAATTCATTGTTTCATTGTTTGTTCTGTGCGGGAATCGAAGCCGCGACACCAGTTGCCCAACCACCGGGCCAACCGTGAAGTCCGGTCATTTAAAATGTTATCGCACTGGCGAATAGCGGTCGGGCGGCTTGCCCCTATTGGACTGATTAATAGACTATTCGATGGCTGAGACGTTCAGAAACGTTATCCGCTATAACATTTTTTTTTAATCACTCCTTCCTTTTTCCAGGCCAAGGCCGGACATTATTACGTTTGCACCCCTGCTGAACATCAGCCTTATTGGGCGCCATCTGTGGTGGTCTATTGGCTCTTTGAGACGCGCGTTCAGGTCTGGTTCTGACCTAACGGCGAGCTTCTCCTTCCCGCTGTCTGCAGACCCGCGCTTACAGTGACCGGAGATCACTAACTGATCCTCATGGTCCCCGACATCCAGATTGTCTCCTAAGACACTGTTGGAGTGCTAGGGACATTATATAGATGTTCTTATGGAGTTTTCTTAAGCTAACACAAGATAATCATATCATCTTAAGATAATATCCACCACTAATTAAAATAGTTTCATGTTTTTCTAATCTGGTACCTACTCTAGGTGTCCCTACAAAGATCTTTATTAAGAAAAATATTAACAATTAAAATATTTTGAGTTTTTTTTTTAATTTGTATATAACCGAGAAAACGGTTTGTGGGTCACACTAAGAGTAGTTCCGTGCGGGAATCGAACCCGTGTCACGTTGCACGGCCACCGGCAGCCCAGCCACCGCGCAATTGTCGTTTTATCAAATTTGTTTTATCAAAGTCAAAGTCAAAGTCAAAAATCATTTATTTCAATTAGACCACAGTAGGCACTTTTGAACGTCAAGCAAGCAAAAAATGAAAAAAAGTATATAACAAGAGCTTTAAAATTAAGCGTGTCAGTCTGTCCGTCTGTCCTCTAGTGAAGCTATTTGCTCGTTCCAAAGTGTAGATTCCTATGGAGAAGAACGAGCAAGAAACTCCATGGTTACTCTTTTTCAATCAGTTTTACAATACATTTCTTTGTTACATCATTTAGTCGGTTCTGATATGTGAGAACAATGTAACACTAATGTTCAGGCAAAAAGTACGAAAAAGAAGTGAACCTCAAGGACAACATAATTAGACAGCCTGGAGCTGACCAGTCCCCAATAGGCGGCGCCCGTTCACGAACATGACACGTACACCAGCACCGCCCAACTCAACCATATTATAGGGAATTGGGCGATCCAGTGCCCGTGCCACCGCCAATGAGACCTCTGAGTGAGCATGACAGCTCCCAGCCGACACAAGTACCTATATTCTACAAGTCTTACTTAATTATAATAGGTTACAGGGCACTCACATTTACAAAAACTTAGAAGATCATCAACAATTAACAACATAGTGTACAAATTAATAATTAAAATCAAAAATTCCTCTAAACATCCTGTGGAGTAGGACCAGCTAGCCTCCAAGCATTTTTATCTTGTATATAATCATTTACTTTGTAGTATGCTAGTTTACATAAATGTTTCTTTATACATAATTTGAATTTGCTTTCATTTAGATTTTGAATTTCAACTGGGATTTTATTATAACATTTAATCATCAATTTATGTTTTAATATAAGTGACTTTATGCTATGCTAATGATATCTAAAAGCTAGGTTATTAGCCATGAGACGACAATCAGCACCATTATGGCCTAGTCTACAACCAACAATATGTCGACAATCTCATGTGCTAGATCTAAATAATTTATTTAATATTTTTCTAAATCGATAATTCTGTTTCCCATACATATTCCTCAACTTAAGGGTAAAGTATTTCAAAGTAAACTAGCAACACCGAGCAATGTTTGTGAAGGTGTTGTGGTCCAAGAATTTACTAAAAATAATTATGTATAATAGTATCCAAATAGACAAATAATCAATATTTATCTATGAAAATAACTTTATTTTTATAATTGTGAACAATTTTTACAATACTTGAGAACATAGGACGGCATTATTCTCAAAAATATAAATATTGTCTATGTCATAGTAACGATGTGACGCTTCGTGACGTACTGACTCGAGTTTGTATTTGCTTTTGAATTTGTATTTGCTTTGCTGGCTTCACTTTCGTTTTCTGCACGGTCTATCTGCCTTTGTTCTATAATCTGTGTTATTAATCCGGCTTCTTCGAAATCTTGCGACGAGTCGTTGGCGATCTTGCTATCGTCTTTTGTTTCGTTAGATTCGATTCCTTTTATAATTAGTTTAAAAGGGCAACCTTTTGCCATTAGGGAAAAATCATCAAGTGACTTCTCCCACCCAGGCCAGGGAGAGGGAGTGTCAGATTCTTACTGCCTAACCCCCCCCCCCGTTCCTTCTCCTGCTCTGTGCCGAGGCCGCGCTGCCTCATTGCGCTTGCCCTTAATTTAACGTTGGATTTAACGTTGTTCTAATTCAGATTCTCAGTTCAATGTCCCACAACATATAAATAGTTTATTATTATGGATAGTTCTTGGTATTATTTCAGATAATTCTTTTACACGCTTATTAGGCTCTGCACTTAACTATGGTTTTTCAGGGTTTTTATTTAAAACTAGCTTCGTAGTACAGTCCGCGTGCTGTGTTGATAAAAAGCAGCCTATCTATAGCAATAGAACAAAATTGAAATATACATATACATTAAATTTGTTATTAACCATCTAATTTTTATGGTTACATCTCCAATGGGTAAATACTCTATTACTTACTAAGTCTCCGCTATCCGTCCGTCCATAGATATGTAGGATCTAACTAATAGGTTAGTATTACGAATATTTAATAAAAGCTATTATATTATATTGTATTTTAAACCACGTCACGTCGAGCGCGGCAACTGTTGCACAGAAATTATCCTTTTAGCATGATTCAGTGTTCGACGACTCTATGGCTTATTACCCGAACTGCTAAGCTATCAAGAGTAAACCATAAAAGATAGACTAATGCTGTAAAACCATTTTTTTTGAGAACTTTATGTAGAATATTTCCGTAATTCATATTTCTTCCCCTCCCCCAATCCCTCCTCAATCCCTAAATCTCCAAATCCCTAATCCCTAAAAGGTCGGCAACGCACTCGTAACTCCTCCGTTGCGGGTGTCCATGGGCGGCGCTGATTGCTTACCATCAGGTAATCCGTCTGCTCGTTTGCCGACATATTACATAGAAAAAAAAATAACGGTAAGTGTAACATTTTACACATTACATTTATTGCTGCAGTCATGTTGCGTAATTACTAAAAGCTTAATTTTGATGAGGGTTTTTGTAAATTCCGCCTAGCCCGTTCCATCATCGGACCACCAGACGTACGGCATTGCGCCACCGGTACATGGTGGATGTCCCACATATACGTACAAAACGTTTTGGGAGCACATTCATTATGCGTACAGCCAAGGAGTGGAATTCATTGCCGGAGTCGGTGTTTCCTGATAGTTACAATCCGGGTATCTTTAAGTCAAGAGTGAATAGGTTACTTCTAGGTATGCGCGCTCCATCGTCGACCGCATCGTCGACCTAAAATCAATAAATAAAAAAGTTCTTTCTTTATCTATTTCAAACATATTGTGACGGAAAAGAGGTTCAAACTCTTTTGTCAACTTCATTGACATCATGACGTCTATGGATGGTTGCCAAACGTTGCTTAGAGATTGTAAATTTCGTCGTGAATTGTCAACACGAATTGGTGTAATCGGTAAGGCGTGTGGATTATACCAGAGAGACCCCGAGTTCGAGTCCCGCCTAAAGAAGCATAAACTTTTTAGTTGATGGAAGTTTTTTGTTGAACTTTCTGGAAGCTTTTGGGTGAAAGAAATGGAAAATTAAAGAGCGAGAAGGAGAATAAAAAATGAATAACGAAATTATTGGAAGGTTCTGGAGTCATGACGATCGAAAAGAATAACGAAATGAATAATGAAAAGACGATCGAAATTGAATGTTCCAGAACCTGACCGGGGGTATATAAGCGGAACTGCGGCTCACCGCTGGCAGTTGAGTTTTAAGTCCAAAGCGATTCGGAAGAAAAGGAAGAAGTGAAAAAGAAGACAAGTGAGTGAAATAGTGAAGTACAGTGAGTTAAGTGAGTTAAGTGTGAACAGTGAGCGGCAAACGGAAGTTTGTGTCAGTCGCCCGGACTCTGCTGGAGTGGAACGCCGATAACCTAACTCAATGAACGCTGTCACTTTTAAGTCAAGTTCAATATAAGGCCTGAAAACCGGTATAAGTGTTTAATTTCATCCAATCCCGTAACCCAAACCTGCATCGTCAGGAACGTGACGTCAGGCACGTAACAATATCATTTTTATTACAGACAAAAACAGTTCGTCGATGGATACAAAGTTATCAAGCGACGGGTGATGTAAACCAACAAAAATATAACTACTGATGACAACTTACATGACAAACACGGCAGTTGTAAAAATCAAGCCTCTATGTTTCTCACACCGGTATCATTGAATGAAGTTAGAATGGAAATTATGTCGTTAGTCAATACTAAATCCGAAGGTTATGATGAGTTAAGCACCAAAATAATAAAACTATGTAATGCTGAGCTTCTAGAAATATTAACTTATTTAATTAATTTGTCGTTTTCATCAGGAACTTTTCCCGAGTTATTAAAATATTCTATTATTAAACCACTTTTTAAAAAAGGGAAAAAGATCTCATTACTAATTACCGCCCCATTACCCTCATACCAATTCTATCAAAAATTTTCGAAAAGTGTATGTACAAAAAGCTTATCAACTTCTGTGACAAATATAATATCATTAGTAAAGATCAATATGGTTTCCAAAAACACAAATCTACTTCATTGGCAATATTTACTTTGATGAACACAATACTTAACAATATTAATAATAATAACTTAACCACTGGACTATTTTTTGACATGTCAAATGCCTTTGACTTAGTATCACATAACATACTAAAGCATAAACTGGAGGTATATGGTATAAGGGGTCTTGCTCACGATTGGATATCATCATATCTAAGCAACCGACAAAATTAAGCAAAAATAGAATAATGACATCGTACACATCTGAATATAAACCTAATAAGTATGGGGTGCCCCAGGGTAGTATCTTGGGTCCCATATTATTTTTAATATACATTAATTCAATCACAGAGGTAACTAGTCAAAAGTGCATACTATTTGCCGATGATATTTCCATTGTAGTAACATCTGCTAAATCAATGTACACCATTAACGATCACGAAAAGGAAATAAATAACACAATTGATAAGTTAGTAAATTGGCTACATATAAATAATTTATAAAATAAATTTAGACAAATCCGTATACATACAGTTTAATAAATCCAATAACTACAAAAACAACTTTAAATTAAATATACAAAAAATCTGCGAAGTGGAACAAACGAAATTTCTGGGTGTAATTATAGACCAAGACATGAACTGGAAAGGTCATGTAGATCAGATCTCCAAAAAAATTAACAAATTTGTTTACGCGCTTAAAAGCATAAAAAATGTAACGAACTTCAAAACGGCCATCATTGCATATCACGCCTACGTAGAGTCCATAATTAGATATGGTTTAATATTTTGGGGCAATGGCAAGGACCAAAATAGGGTTTTTGTTACACAAAAAAAGTGCATTAGAGCCATGTACGGACTTAAACCTGACCAATCTTGTCAACCCGTATTTAAGGAACTTGGTTTATTACCCCTACCATCACTTTACATATATGAAATTTGCATATTTGTTCATAAACACAAACATTTATTTAAGTCCATTAATGATTTAAATCAACGCAATAGAAGAGACCCAAATAGGCTCGTACTTAGTGATGTACCCCGGCTTTCGAAATATGATAAAAGCTGTTTAGCTATGACCGTTAGGATTTACAATAAAGTACGTAGACAATTCAAACTGTTAAATTTAAGTAGGTTTAAAAATAAAATGTATAGTTGGTTGAATACTCATAATTTTTATAGTATTAAGGAATATATGGATCTCAAACTCTGAACCTTTATAGTTATGATCTCAACACAACAAGGTGTAAATTAAATTTGCATTATCCTAAGTGTTTTGTAAATAATGTTTAAGTGATTTATATAGGCAGTTAATTTAAGTTAGTCTAAGTAAAATTTCTTCAATTAACCTAGATTGTATATGTAACAAATATTTGCATGCTATGTAATGGCTAAACATGCTGAACTTTAATAATTGTAACATCTTATTCCACCATGTATTAATGCAAATAAAGATTATTTCTATTTCTATTTCTATGTGATGAACACGGCCCTCGCCCAATTGCTTTTACAACCCCTCAAAACTAAGCGTTCAAGTGCTAAAACTTTTGGTGTGTTGCTTAGCACTATACATCGAACATTCATAATTCCAGTCAGTAAACATAAGCTTACTGATGTCCACCGCGCCAAGTGTGAGATAGCCATGCTTCGGCACGAATGGGTCGGCTCGACCGGAGTGATACCACGGCCTCACAGAAAGCCGGCGTGAAACAACCACAGCGTTGTGTTTAGCCGTGTGAGTGAGGTTACCGGAGGCCCAATAAATTATCTAATGACCTCTCAGAGGGAGTGTCAGACTCTTACTGACTAAAAACCCCCCGTTCCTTCTCCTGCTCTCGGCCGAGATCGGGGTGCCTCATTGCGCTTACCCCGCAACCCCGGCAATCCCTAGTCCCTAAAAGGTCGACAACGCACTCGTAACTCCTCCGTTGCGGGTGTCCATGGGCGGCGCTAATTGCTTACCATCAGGTAATCCGTCTGCTCGTTTGCCGACATAGTACATAAAAATAAAAAAATACCTACTCTTGTTAACGAATCTAGTTAGTCTTGTTATGTGTCTTGTAATATTTTTCTATTGTTGTGTTAAAAGAGTTTTCAAAGAATGTGATAAAAGAGAAAGATGTATATTGCTGTACTGTAATAGTTTATCATGTTGGTTCTTCCTTTGTAAATCATAGGGAAAACAATACATTAAATTTTTAAACAGGCTTTTATTTGTAAATTAAACACGATAACAATATCTAATATTTAAGAGTTTTTTTTTTATTTAAGTAAGTAATATTATAAGTTTCACCCCAATTTAACACAGATAAAAACTGTATGTTCAATCAACGTACTTAATAAGGGAAATAAATGAATATTCCCCGTGCAACCTCACAGGCTTTTCTTATGATCCTCCTATGTACCTACATAAGTTGATTATTAATTTCATAAATAAAAATGAACAAAAATCACTTTACCACCAAAAAAAATATTCTAAAAAAAAAAGCTGAAATTTCAAAGCCGCGGGTTTGAACATACACCCAACGCTTTGCCGAGCCGCAGTCTACTCATGTATCCAAATTCAAATTCAAATTCTTTATTTGCATGTTAAGGTGGGTACAAGGATCTTAAATTAAAATAACAGGCACAGCTTAACGGCCTTTTTCAGGCGTTGCAAAGAGGGCTATTACTAGCTTATAAAATAATATTAAATTACTTAATTTACATTACATTGCATAAAAGAGAAAAAAATAAACAAAAAAGTTCATAATTAGATAAATAAAAAATAAAAATAAAAAGTTGTTAGTGAGTGAGTTAGTAGGTAGGTGTTTGTGTGTATATGAGGTGGGTTTTAACATTAATGTTGGTGTTCTATTTTCCTTCGTAGAATTCTTTGGTTGAGTAGAAACATTTTTATTGTATTAAGAACTTTTTTAATTTCCTCTCAAATATTATTTCTTTCCTTTCGTTTTGTAGGTCCTTCGGTATTCTGGATAGAAAGTGAAGTTATCAGGAAAAGTGAGGTTTATAAATTCTAAACTTAATTCTGTTGTCGTTGTTGTTGTTGTTGTTGTTGTTGTTGTTGTCGTCGTCGTCGTCGTCGTCGTCGTCGTTGTTGTTGTAATACCAAGAATATTGTCCACATCCTCATTTGTCAAGAACCAAGGATTCTTTGGATCTCCTAGTAATGTTTGGTATTGATCAAAGGTGTCTTCTGCAGAAGGTATAGTCGGGTATTGCCATATTGTATTCATATGAGCCAACATCTTTTTGGGCTCTAAAACCTTTACATATGAACTTCTGTAGATGGTTACGTAAAAATATAATTCACTTTCATAAGTTACTTCTACATTAAAATGTGCCTCCCCGTATTGAAATCCATTAAAGCATATTAATCCTCTTATTTTGTCAGCATATGAATCCAGATCTACGTAATCTCTAAGGCACCATTGGCGTAAACGTATCTTAGGTGTTTTTCCAGCTGTGAGCATGTGGTTCGCTTTGAACTCAATGCAAGGATAGTCGGCATCGCCATACAAGGAGATCTGCAATAAAATCACTACACGGTATAAAACAAAGTCGCTTTCTCTGTCTTTATATCCGGATACATGACGGATTTTAATGAGGTTCTTTTTTAGTTTTGTATAAAAGCGTTGCCCCGTACTAGCATTCTCTCCTGTGTGATAGGTTCATTTACAAACATACAATTTCACATGCACATCACACCCAAAGAGTTGTTTCGTGCAAAAATCTAACCCACGACACGTTGCGCGGTAGCCAGTTACCCAGCCACTGAGCCAACCGTACATTTAAGTGTTAATGTATATTTCAAGTTAGAATAACTTAATAGTAGATAGTTAACTTTAGAGTAATCACGTGCTGACTACTCTAAGATTAACCCTTGCCAAAGAGAGTTACCAGCCTTCCGGCCAAAATATTTTAGCCCAAACCAGTTCGAAAGCATATTTTTCAACCATATTTCCAGTAAGCAATAAGTCTTACATTATAATTGAAGATTCCTTTTCCACTTCTGACATGCGTATAGTCAGTGTATGCCTCATGCTTTTGCTCCTCGCTATCGCAATGACCAAACCGCTGGAGTTGGCCGGACACTGAAAGGCAATTTTTCTTTTTTTATGTCATCGGTCGACAAACGAGCAGTCGGATTAACCTCATGGTAAGCAATCAGCGCCACACATGGCCACTCGTAATATCAAACGAGTTACTACAAGTGTATTGCCGGCTTCTTGACGGCTATTAGGGATATAAGGATAGGGGATTGAGGAAGGATTGGGCCTCCGCTAGCCTCACTCACGACGAAACGAGATAAGGGGACCATAACTAAAATCCCATATCCGTACCCATATCTAATTATTCTCAAAAGGCCGGCTACGCATTTAAACTTGCATTTAAATTCTCTGGTATTTCATGGTCTCGATTGCTTTCCATCAGTTAATACGTCAGCTCATTTGCTGACCTGTCTCATAAAATATAGGAAAGTGGTGCATGTCACATGGTCCACTATAAAACGGGTTAATGCCATCAAAAAGAACTAGCCTTATCAACCTTTCTAATTGGGTGAATTAACACATTCAGTGCCCCCGACGCGTATGTGCGTGCGAGGAAACGCACATACGCGTCGGGGGCACTGAATGTGTTAACTGAGAAAACCTCAACTATTTACAAGTCAAGTTAAGTGTGGGAGAGCCAAGTTTCGGCACGAATGGGTCGGCTCGACCAGAGTGATACCACGGCCTCACAGAATACCGGCGTGAAACAACCCACAGCGTTGTATTTTGCCATGTGAGTGAGGTTACCGGAGGCCCAATCCCTTCCCTTCCCCTATCCCTGCCCGATCCCTATATCACTCACTGCATGTGCATGCAAATGCACTCGTAACTTCTTTAGTATTGTGAGTGTCCATGGGCGGCGCCGATTGCTTACCATCAGGTAATCCGTCTGCTCAATAAAAAAAATATAATCATCAGAATATTTGATCGAAGAGACGAACTATATTTTGTAGCTAGCGAAGGATAAAGGAATTCTTACTTCTCCTCATGATGATGTAGTTATCCGCGACCGTGGTAATGGCAGGCTTGCCCATCCTTTCGACGTTGCCCGTCACCCATTCGTGGTATTTGCCATAGTCCATGAACCTCGCTGGTGACTGACAACCAGGACCGTAGATACCAAAGCCCAACTACAAAAAATATTTATATTTCCTAAGACTAAATAGTACTAAATACATTAAGTGTGGGAGAGCCATGCTTTGGCACGTATGGGTCGGCCCGGCCAGAGTGATACCACGGCCTCACAGAAAACCAGCGTGTTCCCCATGTTGTTAAATGTTGATGAGGGTTTTAGTAAATGTGAGAGCTACCAGGGCTCTATTACTTATTATAATTGAGTTAGACTTATAGTATACTCGTACTTGTGTCAGTTAGGAGTTGTCATGCTCACTCAGGGGTCTCATCGGCGGTGGCACGGGCACTGGATCGCTCGATTCCCTATAATATGGTTTAGTTGAGCGATGCTGGTGTACATGTCATGTCCGTGAATGGTCGCCGCCTATTGGGACTGGTTAACTCGAGACTGTCTAAAGTCGAGTTTCATTTCTTTTTCGAAACCTTTGGTTAAACTTTAATGTTACACTGTTCTCACATAATAGAACTACCTGAATTATATAACAAAGCATTGTGAAACTGATTGAAAAAGAGTAACCATGGTTTCTTGCTCGTTCTTCTCTATAGGAATCTACACTTTGGAACGAGCAAATAGCTTCACTAGAGGAAAGACGGACAGACTGACACGTATAAAGTTAAACCTTATGATATCTTTTTTGTTTGACGTTCAAAAGTGTCTGCTGTGGTCTACTTGAAATAAAGAATTTGATTTTGATTTTCTGAAACTTGTTTTGCTTGTTGTTGTTTTTTGTGTTCAATGTTTTTGGAAAAATCCCCAATAAATAAGTGAAGTCGAAAAAGTGGCATTAGTATTTGCCAGGTTTCCATGGGACAAGTAAACAAATAAATAATGTATTTCCCCATACAAATCGCAGCTGATTGATCATTATGCATGGAGAAGTCTTTTTTTTTTGAGATTTTTATATTGGTCTTATGGCAAAAGTGGTTTTATTTGAGCACCAGAATCTGCTTCTTGAATATGTCCCTCGTTTAGCCTAGCAAACAGTATAAAGATGATACGTGACCAGTCTCCAACGGCGTCCCACTTTGACCACAAGTATAGCACCACTCCGCCACACGCAGTTTCCTCCTCTTGTACTCTGCGCACACGCCGTAAAGGAGGGCCACGTCGCCTCGACGTCAACCTTAAACACAATATTCATATTAAATACTTCAAACGGTTCGGAAGCCCAATTCTTTTTCGAAGATCCCAAAATCTCCAAATCCCTAATCCCCCAAAGGTCGGCAACGCTCTCGTAACTCCTTCCGATTGCTTAAGATCAGTAATTCGTATACCCGTCCAATACGAAAAAAAATCAAAACAGCTTCGTTTCATGGTGGACGTCCCACCCACACGAGGAAAGCGGTTCACCTCCAGTTTTATTATCAGAACCGCTAAGGAGTGCAATTCTTTGCCAGTAGGGTTGGTGCGGTGGCTGATCAACTGGCTGCCGTGCAACGTGTCGCGGGTTCAATTCCCGCACGGAACAACTTTTTGTGTGCTCCACAAATTGTTGTTCCGGGTCTGGGTGTCACGTTATGTGAAATTGTATGTTTGTAACCGCTCCCACGATACAGGACAGGACAAAAGTGTGAGGACTCGTTTAAAAAAAATCAAATTCAAAATACACCGGTAGATAATACGAAATACTAATACGGAATTTCTTAAAATAAGAATACATTTTATAATTACCCCACTTCGCCTGTAATAAGATTTGCATTGTTCAGGCGCCACATATTTCATTTTGTGTATTCTAATTCTGGATTTACTGCATCCTAAAAATTTTAAGAAAATATGTTATATAACGTCGCTTAATATTATTAATAAATAGGAAAGATTTTATTGATTGTTTTTTGTTTTCGTCTTAATAGGCTCCCAAACTACTAGACTGTCACAAATCACACAAGGGAAGTTTGCGCGCGAATAAACACGGATAGAAAATTGCAATTGAAAACACAACGTACTACTGTTGGGCAGGAGCAGGAGCCAGGTCAGAGGATCATTCTTTTCCGATTAAGGGGACTTTACGCTCTGTTCCTTAAATTCGAAAATTCAGTTCAGTTTCCAGTGTTACACAACCGTTACACAGTTGTGTTCGAAAAATAGATAATATCTTATTTGAAATGTCAAATCAAAATTATATTTTTTCGCACGAATAAACTTAAACGGATACCGACATACAAATGATAATAAGTAAATAATAATTATAATATAATGCAAGTACTTACTATCAGACAACACCATTGCGTAAAATTCTTGATCTTTAAAATGAGTTGGAGGCGGACAAATTGGTCGCAACTCTGAAACAATAACATTAATATTTAAAAAGCCGAAAAAAATATTATTATTTAACTTGACCTTTTGATTTACTAAATCAAAAATAATTTTAATTGTCATTCTAACTAACTATCAAGTAACTTCAGTCTCAAAGAAGTAAATCTAATTAGAGGTGTACCACAGGGTTCAATATTGGGTCCTTCACGAAAAGAAAAAAGTTTTGATTCAGTTCTGTTTGAAATATAGATATTCGAACTTGTAAGCAAACCTAATTTAATATACAGGGTGTAAAAAGACACTTAACGAAGCCGTTAACTACGCATACTGCAGTTCTAACTAAGTAGCTTTACGCTAAAATTATCACTAGGAAACGACTTTTATTTTTAGGTATCAAAAAAAATAATAATTTTATTGCGCGCAATGTAAAGCAAACGGGCGTCGTGTCATTATATGCGTAGGTTCACAGCTTAGCATTAAAACGCTGTGATAAGTACGTAGGTCGACGTTTTACTTCGCAACAACAAAACAATTCTGTAAAATAAAAATCCTACTGAGATGCACGATGTTTTTTGTGCGGATCTGCATTTATTTATTATGTACATTACTGTTCGTAAGTTCAAATGCGTAATTTATTTAGAAAAATCAAAAATTCAGGTAATGTTTGTTTGGAAAAAAGTTTTGTAATAATACTAAAAATTCGATTGCGCAAACCTTCGACCTCCAATATCTCGAGAAACCGTGGAGTCCCAGCTATGGTCTTGAAGAAAAAAATAATCCAAACAATGGGTAGAATACGTGGCTTTCGGCTTCATGCAGTACAGTTAAGTGTCTTTATACAACCTGTATATAATATATATAAATCAATGTCACTTTTCGTTGTAATGTTATAGCTCAACAATGCCTTTACCGATATGACTAATTTTGGTCGAAAGAATATTAAAAAAGAAACGTGGAAAATTGCACAATCACAAACCGCGCGGGCGGAACCGCAGGCACCGCTAGTAAAATATATTAATGCATATTACTTTCAATCGGTTGGACGCCCTCAATGTCCAGCTGTATCATGGCGAGAGTGCTGAACTTTTCTGAGGAGAAGTCCGGATGGTAGTTGTAGTCGCTTACGCCATAGCTTGGTCCCGAACAGTTGTTACCGATCACCACTCTCGCTTGGGACCTGGGCATAAATTGTGGATTACTTCTGAAGCATAGAAAATTATATACAATTTTACGATTTTGTTTATAACAACTAAGACATTCTTTTTTTATATATAAAAACGTTGCCCCACATTAGGATTTTCTCCTGTGTCGTGGGTGCGGTTACAAACATACAATTTCACATACACATGACACCCAGACCCGGAACAACAATTTGTGGATTACACAAACAGTTGTTCCGTGCGGGAATCGAACCCGCGAGACGTTGCACGGCAGCCAGTTGCGCAGCCACCGCACCAACCGTGCAGTCAAATCAAAGTTCTAAATTGTAACTGACTGACTACTACGATGACGCGCACGCTACTCATGAACAAGTATCCTGTTGTGAATTGAAAGTAGTGGAGTTTTTCACGGTTAATTCACGCGATGATAATGATGACATGTTTTTTTTATGTAATAGGTCGGCAAACGAGCAGACTGAATACCTGATGGTAAGCAATCAGCGCCGCCCATGGACACTCGCAACGGAGGAGTTACGAGTGCGTTGCCGACCTTTTAGGAATTAGGGATTTGAGATTTAGGGATTAAGGAGGGATTGGGGGCTGGGAAGGATTGGGCCTCCGGTAACCTCACTCACACGGTGAAACACAACGCTGTAATTGTTTCACGCCGGTCTTCTGTGAGGCCGTGGTATCACTCCGGTCGAGCCGACCCATTCGTGCCGAAGCATGGCTCTCCCACACTTCAACCTAATAAATTAAACTTCTGTATTTCATCATCGTCAGAATCGCGGGGAGCCAATGGATGCAGGTGGCAACTTGTCGTTCGACGTGGAGAGCTAAGGGGGAGGCCTTTGTCCAGCAGTGGATGTCTTCCGGCTGATGATGATGATGATTTCATCATCATTTTTATCAGCCACTAGACTTTCAGTACTGATTATGAAATTTCTCCAATTCGCAGTAGCCAACTTATACAAAGCGTAAGGATGCGACTTGCATCTAGCTGAAGTCTGCAAACTTTTTAAGAAGAAGTTAAGCATTGTGGTTTGATATTGGTTTTGTAATGTGTACTTTATTTATTTATTTATGGCCATTAGTAAGGTCTATTGCATTATGTTAGTTTTTTTATATGATACTATGACAAAGGAGCTTGCGGATTGCCTGTAAGCAATCAGCGCTGCCCATAGATGCCCGCAACAACATAGGAGTTACGAGTGCGTTGCCGACCTTTTTTAGAGATTTGGAGACTTAGGGATTAGGGGAGGAAAAGTATTGGGAATCCAGTAACCTAACGCACACGGTGAAACACAACGCTGTGGTTGTTTCACGTCGGTTTTCTGCGAGGTCGTGATATACTTACTATATTACTCCGGTCGAGCCGTCCCATTCATACCAAAACATAGCTTCCTCACAATTAACTCTGTTTGTCGTTATTATACAGAACCTAGGTACGTTTTTCACGACCTCTCCTCTACACGTAAAAAATGATGGGATTGATTACCACACAAGACAGAAAGCAAAGCAGCAGCTGTATCCCTTAAACCTCATCATCATCAGCCTATAAGTGCTTACCTGAGCAAAGGCCTCTTCTCACCTGTAGAAACTTTCTCTCACTTTCCAAGTCAGAGAATGAAAATTATGCCAACCTATAATATGATGTTAATGTTCTATGGATAAGATACCTATGGTCCACCAGAGGCTAAACAATGTGTATCCGCTACTAACCTGAAGTTATGTTTGGGTATTTTGTCAACTTCATCGGCTGTGGCGAGCGCTATTTGCTTGGTGACGAGCACCACTGCTGTCGTCCACATTTTATTATCTGGAGAAATATTAAACAATATTAGACTTTAAAGAACTGAGGTGTCTTACCAGTGAACCTCTCTGTGATGGAATGCAGTAATACGGTAATTTCCAATAGTCAAATTCAATACTTTATCTAAATGTCTAAAACGATACTTTTCTATGAATTTTGTATGAAACACCAAATTATGAAAATTAAGAGTATCAAAACATCGACGAATAAATGTATTTTTCCAATATTTTATTGTATTGAAACGTAAAATTAATTTATGTTTGACCTAGGAAACTACCCAATTGTGCAACATGTTCCTAAAGACCGGCAATAAAAATTACACATCGACTTTGGCAAAGAGATTTATTTATTTATTTAAAAAAGGTACACCAACAGCTTCTGTATATAGCAAATTGAATAAAACAATGATAACATTAGGTTTTGGCCTTATACAGTCGCCAATTACAGGTAACCAGCATTCTTAAAAATAAAGTGATAACCTAGTAGTGTAAGAACGAAACTATCTATTACAATAACATTAATATTAGAATTATATTAAAAATATTAATTAATTTAAAATATTAAAAATATTAAGAGATAATGCTGAATCCTGATTTCTAGTTCTCCAAAGCATTATTTTGCGGTGCATCCAATATTTTTTCCGTATATCACGAAGACGGATACATATAGCAATAGATTCACTCCATTAATTGAGGGGTAAAATCATCTCATGTCTTCTTCTACCCTAGGTAAGGCAAAAAGGAATGTCTGACTCTTACTGACTAAAAACCTCCCTCCTCCTTCTCCTGCTTTGGGCTGGGGCTGGTGGTCTGATGGCTCTTTAAGCACCGTACGAGGGACCATCTCCGGCCACCGTAAGCGCGGGTCTGCGGATGGTGAGTAAGGGCAACTCGCCGCCCGACCAGAACCAGACCCGAGCGTACGGCACGTAGCATTCCGCGCGCGCCTCAAAGAGCCAATAGACCACCACAGACGGGGCTCTATAGGGCTGATGGGTGGCGGGGTAAGCGCAATGAGGTACCGCGACCTCGGCCCAGACCAGGAGAAGGAACGGGGGGTTTTTAATCAGTAAGAGTCTGAGACTCCCTCCCGCACGGCCCTGTGCCGTATGTCGAGTGGCGACCTCTGATTGCTCTCAATCATGGTGTTTAACAATCTAAGTTTTCCTTTGGCCTCACCCAGGGATGAAAAACAGAACTGAATGTTAATGAAGCTTTGATTGTGATATTTTTATTTTTTATTAAAAAAAATCCCTACAACAGCCCTCCACTTACAACTTAAGCAAAATTCTTAGTACTTCATATAACATTCCGTGGAAACTGTGCGGGGTCAGAGGAAATAAATAAGTATAAACAACATAATATACTTTTATGATCTTAATAACAAAGTTTTCATGTTTATACTGAACTTTGTGTAGTATTGAGGGTAATAAGACAGACGCCACAATACAGTGTATTAAGAAGTACCAGTTTTATCCATTCAAAATTCACCATTAATAATCAACTGCTAAGCAAACGCCTCTTCTCACACGAAGAATGTTTGAGCAGGTACATCATCTTTGCTCAAGGTGAATTGGCCATTTTAAACTTATGATTAGAAGTAGTTTTCTTCTTCTCTGTCGTTTCGCTCTTGGCAGAGCGGTCGTGGTCACGTAGAGGCATCCACATCGGTGGTAGAGGCGGACACAGCTCTCCGCACGATCTCTCTCCCTGTTGACAGACTGTCTGGTGCAGTCTGATACACGCGTTCCTACTGCCGATTTAACCTGGTCGGTCCAACGCATAGGTGATCTTCCGCGTGGTCTTGTCCCTTCCACCTTTCCCTGAACGACCAGGCGCTCTATGGAATCGCTATCTCGTCTAGAGTTTTAGCGGCAACAAATATTATCAAACGACTGCTTTCGCTTCCTCGAAGGGGAAGGATTGTGCCTCTCGTAACCTCACTCACACAGCGAAACACAACGCTGTGGTTGTTTCACGCCGGTATTCTATGAGGCTGTAGTATCACTTTACTAAATATTACGAAAGTTGACCTTCTGAAATAAAAATGCCTATAACTTACAATTTTGCACAGAACAATATAACGAGCGGCATAAGTACTAAATCATGTTAGCTTTTGGAAACTTTTTGGATTTTTTTGTTTTCGCAAAACAATTTTTGTAATGGTTTCCGTCAGTGGGGATTTGTCAGGCCAACAATCTACATATAGTTATATAACCTTTGGATAAGAAACTGATTGATTCTGACTACTGATTAGTCTGTGCACACTAAACATGGGTGTATAATAAGTTTTTATTCGAAAAATCCATATTAAAATTAATTAGTTATGAACTTAACGTCGCGGTGGCTCGGACGCTAAGGCGCCCGCTTCTCAAGCAGGTCGCGGTTTCGAAACCTGGCAAGTACCAATGTTACTTTTTCCGAGTTATGTGTTTTCTATGATTACTTAGACACCACTGACAAACGATGACGGAAAACATCGTGAGAAAACTTGGACTTATAATTCTAAATTCTAAGTTTGAAATCGCCAATCCGCTTTGAGCAACATGGAGATGAACGCTCAAACCTTCTCCTTGGGCACTAAGGCCCGTGTGAGAAGAGGCCTTTGCTCAGCATTGGGCACTAAGATGATGTGAATGAACTCAATTTTTTTATGGTATAAGTTGGCAAACGAGCAGACGGATTACCTGATGATAAGCAATCAGCGCCGCCCATGGACACCCGCAACACCAAAGGAGTTACGAGTGCGATGCCGTCCTTTTGTGGATGGGGGTTGCGGATATAAGGATTGGGAAGGAATAGGGGAAGGGGAGGGATTGGGCCTCCGGTAACCTCACTCACACGGCGAAACACAACGCTGTGGGTTGTTTCACGCCGGTATTCTGTGAGGCCGTGGTATCACTCCGGTCGAGCCGACCCATTCGTGCCGAAGCATGGCTCTCCCACACTTATTCAGAGTTTAGCAGAAAGTCCAAGGTTCCGTCATTTACGCAACGATCTCCAGCCATACAGACAGGACCCCACTAAGGCTGGATGTCCAGGATTACAGGTGGAAGCGCAATGGTGTACCATGGCCTGCCTTAGACCAAGAAAAGGAACAGGCTGGTTTTTAAACAGTACGAGTCCGACATGCCCTTTCGCCAGGACGGGTGTAATTGAAGAAAAATTAAAAAAATCTAATAGAATTTGGTAGTTTCCTAGGTCAAAAATAAATTAATTCAATGTTTCAATACTATAAAATATTGAAAAATAATTATACTTTTATTCATCGATCGATCGATACAACAAGTTTTAGATTTTTTCTAGCTAATTATTGTAAAATATGTAAGCTATTTGACGCAAAAATGTTATGACGTCATAGCTCAGTTTTTCATGCAAATTACATAGAAAAGTATCGTTTTTGACGTTTGGATAAAAGTATTGAATTTGACTAGCAATGCGCTCCTCATCATTGAAAAGTATAAACATTTGTCTGTGATTCCTGCCGTATTTTATTTCTGTACGCCGTGGGTATGTTTTTCACACAAATAGGTACAGTAGTTTAGGTGTGAAGAAAAGACAGACAGACAGAGTTACTTTCGCATTTTTAATATTAAAGTTTGGACTGAAGAATACTTACGTTGTTGGTAATAGAGGAAGCCGAGCCATGGATAAGTCTCTATCGTGGTCAAGCCTTCGTGCACGTGCGTTGTTGGAGAGTTGTCGATGCCGCAGGACGAAGAAAATGCTGAAAAATCGACAAAATAAACAAATACGAATCGACATCACGAGGCGTGAAGGCACAAAATTTACGTTTGGTGTATACTTTAATAGCCATTTCGTTATTATAGCAACAATAAAAATACAGTAAGATTCCGCTTGGTGTGATGGACACACAGACTTACAGAGGGGTTGCGGGGTAAGCGCAATGAGGCACCGCAACCTCGGCACAGAGTAGGAGAAGGAACAGGGGGCTTTTAGTCAGTAAGAGTCTGACACTCCCTCCTGCCCGGCCCTGGGCGGGAGGAGTCATTTGATGATTTTAATTATGAGGAATCCAAGCTCTTTTTTTTAAACGTTGCCCATAATAGGACTTTCTCCTGTGTCGTGGGTGCGTCTACAAACATACAAATTTCACATACGTCATACCCAGACCCAGAACAACTATTTGTGGATCATAAAGAGTTGTTAAGTGCGGGAATCGGACTCGCGACACGTTGCGCGGCCACCGGTTGCCCAGCCACCACGTCAAACGTGTAAACAAAGCCGCAACAATTACCTTAATGACAGCTTGGCAGACACAATTTGATTTCCTGAGGTAACAATTCTTTTTTTGGTCCTCAAATTATATGTTTCACACCCACGACATAAACTTAAAAATCTTACTGTGAAGAAAATTATTTTTTATCGAGAACTTTATTAATTATATTACCACTATACGTCCATCCGTCTTTCTGGCCATCACCAGGCTAATCTTATGAATCCTTATGGTTACACAGTAGACATTTGAACTGATTATGTAATTCTGTTGATAGCAACGAATACAGTAAACTACTACTTAAAATCCATGTTTGTAAAGAGATCTCACATCTCACAAAATCCTAAAGCATATAAAAAAATCACTCACCATTTCCTAAATATGCTAATAGATACAAGCATGCACGAAGTTGTTGCATATTTATAATCCAAGATTTAATAATTAGTAAACCCACACTTTAATATAGCACTGGCACACGACACAAATAAAATTTACACGAAAATAATTTTAGTTAAAATAAAAATAATTAAATTTGATTTAATTTGTATTTTTGTTTAATTTTTAGTATAGTAATAATAGTTCAATTACTTTTTTTTGTTGTAGAATACAACAATATTTTACAAAATATTTTGCTTTATAAAATTTAAATTAATTCTAAAATACTTTTTTCAATTATTTTATTTAAATTAATAATATTTGCGTTAAATATTATTTTTCTTTTAGTAGGTAATATACTTTATTATTTAGTAATAAAATAATTTGTAAACTTCTTCAATAGCCAAATAAATTAAAATTATCTTCACTGTAACATTGGCGATACTCGAAAAAGTTGTTTGAACTCTACAAAGTTATGTAACTGAATGATCTCTAAAGATTACCACACTTCTGAGTAACACACCTCTGTAAACTGCATTGTTTGAACTTGTACTTACGACAAACAGTATTCTTTTTTTAAATAACTAGCATTTTCTTTTGAAACATTATTAGGGCCGAGGTCACGGTGCCTCATTGCGCTTACCCCGCAACCCCGGCTGAACATCAGCACTATAGGGCCCCGTCTGTGGTGGTCTATTGGTATTTCTTAACAAAAGTTATAGACTGCGTTTTAGTTTATAGTTTCTACTAAACTTAATGGAAAGAATGAAGAGGGCCATCATTCTTTCTGTCCTCACTTTATTCGGACTGAGCTGCTTCGGGCATAATGCAACGTAAGATCGCGCAGGTCTGCAGGTGGCGAGCAAGTTAATGTTGTAGCCTGACCAGAACCAGACACGAGCGTATGGCACATTGCGTTCTGCGCGTGTTGCCAAATATCCATTAGATCACCTCAGAAAGGGCCTTTAGATGTATGAGAGAACAGGGTGGAAAGTTCCTCATCCTCCATTGAAAAGGGAGGATCCTAAGACCAGACGGTTGTTATGTCTGGTGGGCTACTGCCCATTTGCCCAATGGTTGTTGTTATACCGCGATATAGAAACTTACACGTGATTGGGACCCGATGTTAACGTTGTGCGACAGATATCGCTACAGGCCCACTAGGGCATATATCCAACCGGGATAGAGAGCGCAAATGCGATGATAAAGCGTGGGAGAGCTAAGCTTCGGCACGAATGGGTTGGCTTGACCGAAGTGATGCCACGGCCTCAGGAAAAACCTGCATGTAACATCCACAGCGTTGTGTTTTGCCGTGTGAGTGAGGTTATCGGATCCCCAATACCTAAATCCCCAAAAGGTTGGCAACGCACTCGTAACTCTTCTGTTGTTGCGGGTGTCCATAGAAGGCGCTGATTGCTTACCATTAGGTAATCCGTCTGCTCGTTTGCCAATGTGGTGGACGCTCCTTCTGCCCAAACCAGGCGGGAAAAGTCATTGATGACTTGCTCCTCTCAAATAAACAATCATAGAATTTATCACACCAACTAAGTATTAAGTGATAAATTCAATGCTGGTTCACGGGTTTCTGAGAATTCTAGAATAGCCATTATCTGGTTTCCTCTCATTGTGAACGTGAGCTGGGGAATCTGTGGCTCTGGTTTGAACAATGCAGTCTGATAAAATAGTTTTGAGGTAACAAAAGCATTGCCAACATAACTGTCGTTGGCATATTTATCAGGAAATTTCTACTCTTCACCATAGTACAGTCTACTGTCTAATATACTTACAGGGTTACTGGTAACTCGACGTATTCCTTCCTTGAAAATTCAACAACATCTCTTCATCCCTTTTGCATATCTATTCACTCCTCAAATTCTATGCACCCTGTTTTACGGTACCGCAAAACTAAAAACGCAAAGTTACTTAACAAAAAAACTACATTACATCTTGATCTAAAATTCTTTATTCCATTTCAATATTTTTCTATAACAAAAACAAAGATTCAATAGGTATAAGTGTATCAAAAAGAACTAGCCTTATCAATCTTATAATTCGGTGAATTAACTTAGAAAACCTCAACTATTTACAAGTCAAGTTAAGTGTGGGAGAGCCATGCTTCGGTACGAACGGGCCGGCTCGACCGGAGTGATACCACGGCCTCACAGAAAACCGGCGTGAAACAACCACAGCGTTGTGTTTCGCCGTGTGAGTGAGGTTACCGGAGGCCCAATCCTTCCCCTCCCCCAATCCCTCCTCAATCCCTAAATCTCCAAATCCCTAATCTCTAAAAGGTCGGCAACGCACTCGTAACTCCTCCGTTGCGGGTGTCCATGGGCGGCGCTGATTGCTTACCATTAGGTAATCCGTCTGGTCGTTTGCCGACCTATTACATAAAAAAAGTCACAACAAGGCTCATATTCAGACTCCGAGCACACGAAGAACTGACACAGACAGCTGAGTCGGCAGTTGTTATTATCAATATACTTACTTTGTATGTCTCACGATTATAACTTTACAAATAATCAATAAAGGATCTGAGTTACTCGCCGTTCGATTGAATACCCTGACTTTGAAGTAAGCGATGATGCGACCAACGATGGAGCATGCCTACCTCTACGCAACCAATTCACTCGGGCCCTAAAGACACCGGCATTGAATTTCAATCCTTTGACGTTCTGATTATAAAACTGGAGACGAGCCACTTGCCTGTGAGTGGGTCGGATATCCACCATAAAGCGATGACGTTTTACTTACCGATTTTCTGGTGCCACGATGCTGGTGGAAAAGGATTTTACCGGAGGCCCAATCCCTCCCCTTCCCCTATCCCTTCCCAAACCTTATATCCGCAACCCCTATCCCCAAAAGGCCGGCAACGCACTCGTAACTCCTTTGGTGTTGCGGGTGTCCATGGGCGGCGCTGATTGCTTACCATCAGGTAATGCGTCTGCTCGTTTGCCGACTGATCCCATAAAAAAAAAGTAATAAAGGTGTAGTGTAAGTGTGTAGCTCCCCCAAAAATTATCCGAAATGACTCATACGCTCCCACTCTAAATTCTGTCTTTAATAGTCAAATGCACTGATGAGAACAATGAAGAGACTGGCGTAAAAAAAAGCAGTGAGAAAATTTACCAAAGTAGGATTTTGATTAATTTTATTCGTCTTAGAATCTTTTTGGTAAATACTCTGTTATGTTATGGACGCAATCAATCTACCACATTCTCTCCATTCTTCCATAATCTAGTTCATTTACATCAGTCTTATTAGTAACTATGTACACACCATAAGCATTCACGCTGAACGTGCAAATATGTTTGAACTTAATCATTACATAATAATATAAGGCTTGACGTCTTCCTCCTTGGCTGGTGCAAGAGTTCTCACGATCCGGACACATACGACGGACCTTGATGAGTGGCGTCCCAGGAATGTTAAGTTCTTTCTTCGCTTGAAAAATTATGCAATGGTAATCCACATTTTCTTGTAGCGTCACCTGTAATCATGAACATAATTGAATGAATTTTTAAATATTTAAGTCTCATACACTTAGTAATTTACTTAGGCTCCCATGGACAATCCACAACACCAGAGAAGTCACCAGTATGTTGCCGACCTTTTGGGGATTGAGGTTTTGGGTGGAGAGTGTCAGAGTGACTAAAAACCAAAACCATCACATTCCTTAACTTCATCATCATCGTCATCGGAAAAAGGCCTCCCAAAGCGTTCCCGTTCCTTCAAATTCCATTATTGCGCAAAATCCCCCATTTTACGCGGTTGGAGCCCCAAATGTAAAATAGTTGGTAGAAATAGAAGCTTACGTTATAATAAACGGTGATCACTGGGTCTATATCATCATATTGATCATGAGGCGCCACCAACGTCGCTCTGTCGGAAAATATCTCCGTCGCCGTTTCCTCAGGATCGCAGAGACCGAATCTCTGGATGTTCGATGAAGCTGTGTCCAAAGAAAGTTATTTTGTTACAACCACATTATTGTTTTACTGAAAAGTGACGTTCTTGATCAATCATCAATACCAACAGGTTGTAAAAGAAGTGACGTGGTATGTTGACACACATATATACATACGAGCACAAGGAATCGGCTGACTGGGCTAGGCAGTCACCTAATTAATCTTATGTGTGATTTTACCAATCACAGGACCATAGGATCTTAGTCATTTGGGCGATGTACGAGAGGCCGAAGCCAACTGTTCAAAGGTCCTTTAGACAACGTTTATCTTAATGCAATGGGAATTTGTTATTCTTTTATTCCACAAACATAAATAAGCTATACCTAACAATACCGTTGCAATATTTGTTCGATAATATCTGTTTACTGTATTGAATGTGTTCTTAGACAGGCCTTGTATCGAATAAATGCTTTTTTTTTCTCTTTCTATCAATAAACAAACGCACGATGGGCCACATCTCCGGTAACGAAGCCATAATCTACATGCTTGGTAGGCGGGTAACGTACTCATCATCATCAGCCTATAAGTGCCCACTGTTGGGCAAAGACCTCTTCTCTTACGAAGATGGTCTGTGTCACTACATTTCCTCAATGCGGACATTTTTCTTTCACCATTCATCAGTGCCAAATATTCTTGGAAAGGAAAACGTCACATGGTACTTGCTAGTTTTTGAATCCACACCCTCATTCATAAGAACTTAACCTTCGGGCCACAACGACATGCAATGGCAGGTAATACTAACATCTCCGTAAAACCACGTAGTTGTTGGCAATCCTTGAGATGGTCGGTTGACCGACCTTGGAGACAATCCGCTTCACCCACAAATGGTACATGCCGTAGTCCAGAAATCGGGATGGAGACTCACAACCAGGCCCGTATATACCAATACCTAGCTGTGAAGTTAAATAAAAATAGGTATTTATTTAAACTATAACTAGAGTTACAATTGCTTGTTTGTCACTTGTAACTGTTCGATATTTTGGGAGTCCATGGGCGCCGCTGGTTGCGTGCGGTCGAGTGATCCATATGTCTGTTCGTGGTACCTTTAATCAAAAACTTGCTCAAAGCAGTCCAAGTTATCTCCCAATGATTTCCTTTACCGTACGTCAATAATGTAAGAACCTCCAGTATTCAACCTTCCAGTACCTTGGAAAAATCTTAAAAAAAGTATTGTACATTTTTCATAACCTAACACTCTCTTTTGGGATAACGTACAAATGTCCTATTGACTTACCAGTTTCCATTGTCCATCATGACGAATTACGAGCGAGGTACTGCTCCGCCAAATACAATGTCCATCTGTCTGGCCTTGGGCACACGCCAGGTGGGTTGGCCACAAGCTTTGGATGTCCAGCTGTAAGCATAATCAAACCATACAAATATCAGCACATGAAATTATTGATTTAGTTGCGAGAGCATTTGATAAGCAAAGAATATCAATCTCTAAACTCGGGTATGTTTAAGTATTATAAGGTCTTGTTTACTGTCTACATCTTCGTTTTCTGTCAGAACTGGCAACCATTAGGCAGTAAATTCTGTCGTGTGTCGCGCAATCACATCATCAGCCTATAAGTGCTCACTGCTGAGCAAAAGCTTCTTCTCACAAAGTTTGAGGATTAATAACAACGCTTGCTCAAGAGACTGATTGGTGATTTCAAACTTATAATCAAGTTTATGTTTCCTCACAATATTTTCCTTTACCTTTTGTCTGAAGTGTCCAAATAATCTAGAAAGGACATATGACTCGGAAAATGTTATATTAGTACTTGCCAGGTTTCGAACCCTCTTGAGAAGCGGGCGCCTTAACTTCTGGCACTACGACATTTATGCCAAAAATAATACTACTCATAAATATCAGCTCCTAGCCTTGCTTGAAACGGGGTGCGTGCCAGAAGACCTCCCCGTGGTGCACCCTGGGTGCGGGCGACAGTCTTCCTAACGGGATGGCGACAGGGTTGGACTGACTGTCGCCCGCAGCGAACTTCTGGCCGGGCGGAGAACCCGGTCGGGTTCTAGAGGCGACCGGCTCTATGCTGGCATAGAGTCTACGCCTCCGTGGGGGCGTTCCTCCGCACGACTCTCTGGACCTAGCAGAGAGCGGGGCGGAGAAACAAGGGCGGCGCTCGTTGTGCACTCACCCTGCCAATGAGTAGCATCGGGGCACTAGCTGCGCCCGACTGCACCCGTCGATATCGTAATCCGGGAAGAGATCATGGTCATGTTTTATGACTCGGACCGGGACGAGGGTCTTGGCTTAACCGCCCGGACCGCGAGGAAGATAACCTCTATAAAAAATTCCTCCAATACTAAGTTCTGGTGCGCGGCGAGGGTATGTATGGCTGAGGAGTAGGATCAGTCGTGAGCGCACCCCCAGCTAGGGGACCGGTGGACCCCCTAGTTGGGAGACAAATGCACACTTACCCAGGGACAGGGGGCTCTCCCTGGGCGGACCTCTTATTTCCCCCATACTCGTGGGACTTCAATGGAGATGTCTAAACACAAAAATAATAAAAATCCACCTACCGGTGAGGAGAAGGCAAGCGAGGTCAGCTCGCTTGGAGGCGATAGCGAGGGCCAGGTTGGCTCTCGGGTTCGTGGGGAGGCGCTGGCCCCGTCCAGCAAGTCTCGGGCACGGGCCCCGGGGAGGAAGGAGTCGGACTCAGAGTCCGACTCATCATTGTCTGGCGTCAGCATCGCGCTGCGCCACAAAAAAGACCGGGGCGTTTTCAAACGTCCCAGGTTGGAGGATGGCCGAGAGCCGTCCTCCATCGAGCAGGAGGCCCCAGCCCCCAAAATCCCCACGGCTGCGCGGGGTAGGGGCAAGGGGAAGGGCTCCACAAGAGCGGCTGGGAGCCGCTCTGAGCCGGCAGAGCGGCTGGCAGCGGAGGGGAGCGCCCTGGGAAAGGCTGCCCCCTCGGACTCCTCGGAGATGGAGGTGTCCGGAGGTGAGGATTCTGCAGGCGGCGCTGAGAGCCTCCGCCTCCAGGTTAAGGAAGCACTCCGCATGCTGGCTGGGCAAAAAACCCAGGCTGGCAGGAACGGAGTGCTTAAGCACGCGGAGGCCGCAATAATGTCGGCGGTATCCCAGAAGGGCTCAGCAGAGCGGCAGATGACCGCTCTGCAAAAAGAGATGGCCGGAATGAGGCGCGAGCTGGCCCGATTAGCGGCTGCGAACTCTGCCCTGGAGGCGGAACTTCGTGCAGCAAAGGCGGAACTCGCCGCTGCTCGCGCGGGTCGTCCCCAACCCTCGCAGCCAGTGGAGGCCGACCTTCTTGGCCTCATGCGGCAGGAGATGGCCGCCTTCCAGCAGCGTTTCGACGCTCTGGAGGGTAGGCTCCTTCGACCCCCGCTCGCAACTGGCACTTATGCAGCCGCGGCAGCGAAGACGAAGCAGCCACCTAGCCGCGGCGTCAGAGTAGACGCTCCGGTGGAGAAAAGGGCGAAAGTGCCCCCTGCGGCGAAACCACCGAGAGCCCCGCCGCTGACGAGGACGCCTATGGCTCAACCGGCACCGGCTCCTGCTGTGCCTCTGGCACCAAATAGCCGCAAGCGAAGAGGCGCAGCAGCTGAAATTCCAGCCGTTGCAGCCCCAACCCCGCTATCAGAGCTGCGCACCGATGGCGACGAGTGGCAGGTGGCCGGGCAGGCGAGAAGGAGCGCCAAAGAGGCGAGGAAGCGCCGCAAGAAGGAGCAGCGGCAGCGGCGGCAGCAGCGACGCAAAGAGAAGCGCGCTGCGGCAATGCTCCTCACCCCTAAATCTTCGGCTGTAGTTATCACGCTACAGCCGGACGCGGCTAAGAAGGGGGTGACATACGGCGACGTCCTCGCCAAATTGAAGGGGACGGTTACTCCCGCGGAGTTCGGGGCCCCTAACGGGTTCGCGGTAAGGGTCACCGCGACTGGAGCCCGTCTTCTGGAGGTCCCCGGCGCGGCCAGCGGCCCATCCGCTGACGCCCTTGCCGAGAGGCTCAGGACGTGCCTTGCGGCGGATGAGGCTCGCGTGTCCAGGCCCACCAAATGCTTGGAGCTACGCATCATGGGCCTGGATGACTCCGTGACGGAGAACGAGGTGGCGGCCGCTGTCGCAAGGACGGGGGGGTGCCCTGCTGATCAGGTGAAGGCAGGCACCATCCGCCCGGACAATACGGGGCTGCGGACCGTGGTAGTGAGCTGCCCCGTCACAGCGGCCAAAAAACTGTCGGAGGGCAAAAGGCTCCTGGTGGGCTGGGTTTCGGCGCAGGTGAAGCTGCTGGAACCCCGACCTTTGAGGTGCTTCCGCTGCCTCATTGGTCACCATGTGCGTGCCAAGTGCACCTCAGAGGTGGACCGCAGCGACCGCTGCTTCCGCTGCGGTCAGCCCGGTCACAGGGCCGGCGCTTGTACCGCCCCGCCGCACTGCGTAGTATGTGCGGCGGCTGGCAAGCCGGCCGATCACCGGGCTGGGGGCAAAACCTGCTCCCCCCCCACCAAGCCCAGGAGCAAAGGTAGGCCCGTAGCCACCTCCACCGCTCCCACCGTCGCTCCCGCTGCCGCCGCAGTCGCCAACACCCCTGCGACTGCTGCTGTCGCCGCTGCCGTCAGAGAGGAGGTCGTGATGGATACCCAATAATGGCTCCATTACGCCTCCTCCAGGCGAACATCAACCACTGCGTCGCTGCTCAGGATCTCCTGCTCCAGAGCATGGCGCAGTGGTCGATCAATGTTGCTGTGGTCTCCGAGCCGTACTTCGTTCCAGCCAGGGAACACTGGGTGTCAGACCTGGACGGCTCGGTGACCATCATCTCGTCGGCCGCCGCCGGTACCCCAACCCCCGAAGGGCCTCAGCGAGGCAGGGGTTGCGTCGCGGCTCGGTTCGGAGAGATCGCCGTGGTGGGCGTGTACTTCTCTCCGAACCGAACTCTCGTCGAGTTCCACAACTCCCTCAGGGAGTTAGTCACCGTCGTCGTCGGGTTCCGTCCCCTCCCCGTGTTGGTCCTCGGGGACTTCAATGCCAAGAATTTGGCTTGGGGTTCCCGGCTCACTGATGTCCGGGGAAGGATGGTCGAAGATTGGGCTCTGGAGACAGGCCTAGTCGTGCTGAACCGGGGTTCTGTCCCCACGTGCGTACGGATGCGGGGCGAGTCAGTGGTGGACATTTCGTTTGCTAGCCCCGCTCTGTCATCGCGCGTTGTTGACTGGCGCGTCATGGAGGAGGTGGAGACGTTTTCGGACCACCGGTATATACGGTTCGACGTCTCCGCCGAGTCCGCAGACCCGCCAGTCAGACAGGCCCCGTGTGGCCCGCGTTGGGCGCTTAGGCAACTGGACCGGGAGCTTTTCCTGGAAGCCGCAGTCGTGCAGGCCTGGGTAATACCACCGGTCAGGCCAGCCGACATTAACGAGGAGGCGAGATGGCTCCAGGACGCCATGTCAAGGATGTGCGACGTGGCGATGCCCCGGATCCGACCGTGCCAACGCAAGCGCCAGGTGTATTGGTGGTCGCAGGAATTGGCAGACCTGCGCGGTGAGTGCACCGCAGCGCGACGCCGATACACCAGGCACCGCAGGCTCCGTCTCCGCCCTCTGGACGCTGAAACCAGAGAGGCGGAGCTATACGAGGAGTACAGGGCGGCGAAGGCCACCCTCAGGGTGGAGATCCGGCGGGCCAAAGATCGGGCCCGCGAGGAGATGTTGGAGACTCTGAACAGAGACCCGTGGGGACGCCCCTACCGGATGGTGCGTGATAAGCTCCGCACCTGGGCGCCCCCACTGACTCAGAGTCTCCGGCCGGAGGTCGTGGACGAAGTGGTTGGGGCGCTATTCCCCCGACCACAGATGGGTTACACGCCTCCGGCTATGCCCCCGCCCCCTGCGGTGCCCAATGCGGGCTACATCGACGACGACGACGAATCCGCTCCGGAAGTGACCGAGGTAGATTTGAGAGTGGCGGTGCGCCGGCTGAGCGGCAAGAATACCGCCCCAGGACCTGACGGGCTGCATGCCAAGGTCTGGGTCCTGGCCTCGGAGGCTCTCAGGCCTCGACTACTTGGTCTGTTCAGCGCATGTTTGGAGAGAGGCCAGTTTCCGCTGTCGTGGAAGACGGGTAAACTGGTCCTCGTGAAGAAGCCGGGGCGTCCTGCGGACTCTCCGTCCGCGTACCGGCCCATTGTGCTGCTCGACGAGGTGGGAAAGCTGTTCGAGAGGATAATCTCAGACCGCCTCGTCGGGCACCTGTCTGGAAGGGGGCCGGATTTAGCGGACGGCCAGTTCGGCTTCCGCAGAGGGCGCTCCACGGTGGACGCCATCATGCGCGTGAGGGACCTCACGACGGGGACAGCGTTGGCCGGGAGGCGAGTCGTCGTGGCGGTGTCTCTGGACATCGCCAACGCCTTTAACTCGCTGCCCTGGAGCTGCATTTTGGAGGCACTCCGGTATCACCGGGTGCCTGCCTATCTCCGTCGTGTAGTCGAGGCTTACTTGACGGACAGATGCGTCATCTACCCCGGTCACCGGGGCGTGTGGAATCGGCGAGAGGTGTCGCGCGGTGTCCCACAGGGATCGGTCCTGGGACCTCTCCTGTGGAACATCGGGTACGATTGGGTGCTACGCACCGACCTCCCGAGCGGCGTCAGCATTGTCTGCTATGCTGACGACACGCTGGTGCTGGCGAACGGGAGGTCGCATCAGGCGGCGGCCGACCTGATGTCTGAAGCGGTTGCGACAGTCGTTGCAAGGATCCGGCAGTTGGGACTCGAGGTGGCGCTCCACAAGTCCGAGGCCATGTGCTTCTATGGCCGTCGGAGCGCGCCACCTCCAGGTGGGTCCCAAGTAACGGCAGGAGGAGTTACCATCGGCGTCGAGTCGGCGATGAAGTACCTGGGTCTCGTCCTCGACAGCCGATGGAACTTCACGGAGCATTTTCGTCGTTTGGCCCCTAAGTTGGAACGGTCTGGGGCCGCGCTCAAGCGGCTCCTTCCCAACCTCGGGGGGCCAAACGCCTCCTGCCGGAGGTTGTATATGGGGATTGTGCGATCCATGGCCCTCTACGGTGCCCCTGTGTGGGCGCCGGACTTGAAGCGGCGGCGGCCGGCTCGTACGCTGGTCGCGTCCCAGAGGGTCATGGCTATACGAGTAATCCGCGGGTATCGCACGATCTCCGGGGAGGCGGCGAACCTCCTTGCCGGATCACCGCCGTGGGATCTAGAAGCGAAGGCGCTCGCGCGCGTCTACAGTTTGCGCGCAGACGCGCGTCGCCGGGGCGAAGATCCTCTGCCGCGCCAAATAAATGCGTGGCGGAATGAGCTCCGGCGAGATCTCATGGCAGAGTGGAGACAACGACTGTCGCAACCGAGGGCCGGGCACGCTACCATAGCAGCGGTAAGACCCCTCTTTGAGGAGTGGCTTGAGAGACGCCACGGCGTCCTCACCTTCCGTCTGACGCAGGTGCTTACCGGGCACGGCAGCTTCGGTAGGTTCCTGTTTCGGATTCAGCGGGAGGAAACGCCCGAGTGTCGTCATTGTGAGGACCACCTAGAGGATACGGTGGAGCATACGGTAGCGGTATGCCCTGCCTGGGCTGAGCACCGCCGTATCCTCAGGGAAGTGATCGGCGGCGGCGACCTCTCGCGCCCGGCCTTAGTCGAGGCCATGGTGCGGAGTGAGAGGAACTGGGACGCCGTCTCCTCCTTTTGTGAAGCGGTCATGCTCGCAAAGAGAGAGGCGGCCCGCGTGAGGGAGCAATCCTCCTCCTCGCGCCCCAGCAGCCGCAACTGGCGACACTACGGGCGTCGGGGATCGAGGGACGATCTCCGGCCACCGTAAGTACGGGCCTGCGGTCGGCGAGTAAGGGCAGCTCGCCGCCCGACCAGAACCAGGCCCGAGCGTACGGCGCGTAGCGTTCCGCGCGCGCCTCAAAGAGCCAATAGACCACCACAGACGGGGCCCTAAAGGGCTGATGTTCAGCCGGGGTTGCGGGGTAAGCGCAATGAGGTACCGCGACCTCGGCACAGAGCAGGAGAAGGAACAGGGGGGTTTTTAGTCAGTAAGAGTCTGACACTCCCTCCTGCCCGGCCCTGGGCGGGAGAAGTCATTTGATGATTTTCCCCTCACAAAAAAAAAAAAAAAAAAAAAGCCTAGCTTGAAACTAGTCAAAATACCTAATTAATATCTAAAGCGCATCACAGTTCTTCCTGGGTGTATTCAAAAAACGTCGAACTTATCCGTATATTAATTACCAATGAAAAGTTTCATCCTCATCATCATCCTACTGATAGATTTTCAAATTGTTCTATGTGGAATCAAAACCTTAAAGGGAGACTTTCTGAAGACAACGACCTATTTATTAACTACCTCCTTTATCATAAATGGTACAAAGTTAGTAAGGATACTATAGCAGTGTAAGGCCCACCGCTAATTGCGACTTTTTATGACCTTGACATATTCTTTGGCTCACTGAAACTTTTAACGTGACAGACAGTGAGGGATTCAAAATATCATAAGAAGAAAAAAAAGTCACTTGTAAGTAGACTATAGACTATCATAGTTATGTTCAGGTCTGCTGAGAGTCAGTACAAATATTAATCACCGTCACGTCACCGCAGTGAGCTCACTCTCCTATATCCAAATCTTCATTGCACTGAATTTAGTGACAAAAAATCGCAATAAGCGGTGTGCCTAAAATGCTTTTAATGATTCAAACCCCGATCCTCCTGTAGTGGTCCCGACAGCGAGTCGTGTCGACAAAATCCATCTTGTATATATTCACCATGGAACTGTTGTAGCAATCTGAAATTAACAATTTGTATTACAAATCCCATATATGTTGTACAAAAAAAGTTTGTCCCACACTAGGATTTTCGACTGTGCCATAAGTTCGTTTCACGACGATTTCACATATCCATTAAGACTTCCTAATGTGTCGTGTGACCGTTCAGAAAACGTAAAATTTCCCGTGAACATCACACACAGAGTTTGGGGATTTAGGGATTGGGGGAGGGAAAGGATAGGGCCTCCGGTAACCACACTCACACGGTGAAACACAACGCTGTGGTTGTTTCATGCCAGTTTTCTGAGGCCGCGGTATCAATCTGGTTCAGGCGACCCATTTTTGCTGAAGCAGGGCTCTCCCACACTTAAATACACTTAAATAAGTACAAAGTATATATATATACGTACCGTGGACCAAATGCATAGCATATATTTCTTCGCTATTCATAAATGTCGTTGGTGGCGGACAGATTGGCATTAATTCTGTAGAAATTAATGTTAAATTAATCTGTCTTGTAAAGTAAGGGTGGTGAGGCTGTTAAGAAAGAGCTCGATAATTCAAACTCCAAATCAGGACCAGACCAAAATATTGTTAGATCCTTCTTAGATTCTTTTAATCCTAAATTTCAAACCCTAGTGTTAAAATAACCAATACCCAAAAAACCAAAATAGACACCCCGAGGTATCATCTGCGAACTTGAATGGTATCATAATTATTGTGTATGGACTATGGGATGGGATGGGAACTAAACAGATCATCATAATCAGTCTGTAAATTCTCACTGCTAATCAAAGGCAATTCACCTTGAGTTAAATAGAGATTATAAGACCAGGTTTCTTCACGATGTTCACCTCCACCATTCATCGTTAGTGTCTACTCTAGATAAACTTAGAAAATACATTTAACTACCTACGAAAAAGTTCTATTGTTACTGGCCACTTTGAAACTGCACCGTCATAAATGAGAAGCGGAACCTTGTTAACCTTCAGGTCACCAGAACCAGAATCTATTACACTACATAGGCCGTGACCAGTGTTATTAGATTAATAGCAAAGTTTAAAATAAAAAACAACGAAATAGAGTCAGAAACTAATTTCAATTTTCGAAAAATCGGTTTCTCAGGACCAAGTCCAGAATAATCAATTTAATAAAGATATTGTAAATAAAATTAATCTTACTCATTTGTGCGCTGTCGATATCAAGCTGTACGATGGCCAGGGTGCTGTAAGTGCTGCGAGTGAAGTCGGGATGGAAAGTATAGTCTTTGATCCCGATGTAAGGCCCGGTGCAGTTGTTGCCAAGAACCACGCGGGTTTGCGCTCTGAACAGAAAGGAGAATTATTTGGGGAAAAATGAATGATAAATGTGGGAGAGCCAAGCTTCGGCATGAAGAGGTCGAGTGCGTTGCCGGCCCTTTATAGATTATTTAAGGATTGGGAAGGGATGGGAGGAGAGGGAGAGACTGGGCCTTTGTAACCTCACTCACACAGCGAAACTTAACATTGTTCCACGCCGGTTTTCTATGAGGCCGTGTCAGGTCGAGCCGATCCATTCAAACCAAAGCTTAGCTCTCCCACATAAGGATAAGAAATTTGTATGGATATCTGGTCTGTTTTTTTTCTGGTTTTATTAATATTATGTTATTCAAATCGGATCTTGACGTACCTGAAATTTTCTTTAGAATAATAGTCGATGTCCAGAGCAGTAGATAGGACCACGTCATCTGATATGAGTATCACAGCCGTTGTCGATGGATTATCCCCTTCTGGAAGAAGACAGTAAATTTGTAAAACAATATTAATTTTATTTATTAATAAGATAAAGCCTGCTCTAACTTCAAAGCAGCATTTATTTGGTCACGAATTAAAGACCAGGTTATAACCTGGTTTAAATAGGAGACCCAGATAGGCAGGAAGTTTAGCTAAAAGTTGCCTTACACAAGGGTTTTTTCCTGCGTTTCCTGGGAGGGTTTCCAAATACAATGGCACATACACACCAGACCCAGATGCGGAACAACAATTTGCGGTTCAAAGAGTTGTTCCTTGCGGGAATCAAACTCAAGATACGTTGCACGACATCCAATTGCCCAGCCACTGCATCAAGGAGAAAAAGGTACATACTATTTGTTTTTCTTTTTCTTTTGTTATTATTTTTTTTAAATCATTTCATTTTTATCTGTATCATTTGGTTTAGATTTTTAGTATTATTTTATTTTCTTCTTTTTTTGTATTTTTGTGTAATAAATGTTTTTCTTTCTTTCTATTTCCAAGAATCCACTTTTTTTCAATCAAGAATTTTATTTTGACTAAAAGAACTTACCAATGGGATAAACCAATATCCCAAGCCACGGAAAATCCTCTATTAACGCCAATCCCTCCTCAACCGCTTTTCCCTCCATTTTATCTTCACCACAAGTCAACGGCTTTTTAAATATTTTTCTCGTCTGATTAGTTCTAGTGAAATTCATAACTGCAAACACAATCCAATAGGTGTAAACGAGGGATGTTACCTTTATGATTATCTAATACAAACATCGATCACTAATAAAGAACTTAGTGATCGATGAATACAAATATGAGTATAGCAATCCTTCCCCTCCCCCAATCCCTCCTCATTCCCTAAATCTCCAAATCCCTAATCCCTAAAAGGTCGGTAACGCACTCGCAACTCCTCCGTTGCGAGTTTCCATGGGCGGCGCTGATTGCTTACCATCAGGTAATCCGTCTGCTCGTTTGCCGACCTATCACATAAAATAAAAAATAAAAAAATTGGAAAAAAGTGTCGGTCTCGGATACGATTATCCATATCTATACTAATATTATAAAGAGGTAAAATTTGTAAGTTTGTATGTAGGGCGTAATCTTTGGAACCGCTGGCCAGATTGCCAAAATTCTTTCACTGATAGATAGCTATAAGGTTCTTGAGTGCTATAGGCTATAAAACATCACGCTACGATTAAATGGAGCTAAGCAGCGGGTGAAACCGCACGAGAATAGCTAGTAATATTATAAAGAGGTAACATTTGTAAGTTTGTATGTATATATTTTGTGGCACCGTGGCCTCGGTCTAAAGCAGAAGAAGGATGAGTCACTCACCTCACCCTCCCCCTGGGCGGGGGAAGTCATTTAATGATTTTCCCCTACCAAAAAAAAGGTATATATCAGATTATTCATTAGCATCGGATAATTTTCTAACTAACTAGTTTAAACACCCATAGATACCCGAAACACCAGAAGATATACGATTTAAGGATCGGTGATTTGGGTATAGGAAATAGGGGAAAGCAAGGATTGGGATTTCGATTGTTCCACGTCATTTTTTTGCAAGGCCTTGGTAATATTCCCATCGAGCCGTTCCGAAGCATTGTGCTCACCTTACACTCACAAAAGAGATTACACATATCATATTATGAGAAACAAACTGCTAAACTCACTTGTCACGCGAAGGATGCGACAAAAAATTTCTTTATTTAGATAGTAGTAGACTTTTTCTTCATAAAGAAAGCATTAGAAATCGCAGTTTCAAATATGTATGAATTTTTATCAAAGATTGTTCTATCCATGTTGTTTTTAAATACTTTGTCTCATCAAACAATTAGTTTCGAGAGCAATTTATTGTTTTAAAAAACTAAAAAAGAAAATAACTCACCCGAAAATCCGCTGACAAAATGGAAAACCAAAAAACCGTATAGTACTAGCATTTTTTTTATTTTTATTTTACGATTTTCACTTGTTTTTATCGACAGCAAAAAAAATAAATACTAATTTCCTACTTTATTTTTTCTAGTTGGCTATTTTCTTTCTTCCTTAGTCACAAATCGTCAATACAATATTAAAATAAAACTCTTTAAAAAAATATCAGGGACTTTATCCGAACGATGGTTTGCAGTCAAATGACTCTTCACTCCGTTGGATTGACAAGCAAATATGTTATTGGATAAACTTCATATACAAACCCGATGTGTCATTTCTTGTTTTAGCATTCAGAGCCATTGTTTATTTTGTTTATTTGTTTCTAGACAAGAGTGCAGACATTTATTAAGCTAGTAAACAATAATATTAAAACTAACTAAAGATGACTAGTGTGCCATATTCAATACTCAATAAATTTATTTTTTGCATTCCACAACCTGAACTTAGGTGGGTACGGGCGACCTATCGCGCCCAGCCTTAGTCGAGATCATGCTGCTTAGCGAGAGGAACTAAGAAGCCGTCTCCTCTTTCTGTGAAGCAAAGAAGGAGGTGGACCGCGTGAAGGAGCTATCCTCCTCCTCACGCCCAGCCGCCGTAGTAGACGACAGACCGGGTGTCGCGGATCGAAAAAGGATCTGCTTCCACCGTAAGCGCGGACGGCGAGTAAGGGTAACTCGCCGTCCGCAGAACCAGACCTGAGGACCTACCATGATGTGTTAAAGCGCCATTCTTCCGGGCGAGAAAGATGAATGGAGCTATAAAAGGCGTATAGCCCCATCCCTCTTTCTCGCCCGGAAGATTGACGCTTTAACTCGTCATGGTAAGCCCTCTGAGCGTAAGCGCATTGCGTTCTACGCGCGCCTCAAAGAACCATTAGACCACCACAGACGGGGCCCTATTAGGTTAATGTTCAGCCGGGATTGCGGGGTAAGGGCAATAACACCGCGGCCTCGACCTGGAGCATGAGAAGAAGCGGTGGGTTTTTAGTCAATAAGAGTCTGACACTCCTTCCCGCCCCTTCCTTGGAGGGAGAAGTCATTTGATGACTTTGTCCTCACAAAAAAGGCGCTATATTATAAATATTTGTTTACAATTTTTAATTATTTTTTTCAGGTAGTTTTAGTTGTAGTGTTATTTTTTTTCTCTCTCGTCTTATCTCGGTTATTTATTTATCACGTTAGGATTTGATTAAAGAAACTGTTTTGAAAATTCCGGATCAGTAATATCATATTGTGTACTGTGAGACACAAATGTTTCGACAATTTTTAAGACAACATTGTGGTACCTTACAAATAACAGATATTTATTCAACCGGGAATCAAACCAGAGACTACGTACTCGACCCTCGACAACAAACTCAAGATACAACTACTTATAATCGATGATGAAGCATAAGATTTGTGAATCGGCAGCCATGACAGTTTTATCAAAGATCAGTACGTGATGTTTCACTGGTCTACCATCAGATAATCCACTTATGGAATAAGTGACCTCTTCTCTGACGTTGGGAGCTAGGGGGAGGGAAGGATTCTTTGTGACACGAACGGTTTTCGTGACTAATTATTTTATTATTTTCTTGGAGATTGTATTGTAGATAAGTAATTGTAATATTATTTATCGATTATATTTTTACGAGGGTTAGTTCCTTGGAATGTATTTTGCAGTTAACAGTAGTTTCGTTAGTCTAGCAGCTACAATAATAAATCACATCATTGCCCAGCCCACTGCTGAACAATGGCCTCTTCTCACACGGAGAAGGTTTGAGCATTATCATCACGCTAGCTCAAGGTTTGGTGTTTTGAAATTTATAATTAGAAATGACAAGTTTACCATACCTCAATGATGTTTAAATAATAACCTGAAATGCTAAAAATTAAATAATAAAATAATATTTAAGGGTGCCCCGTACATAAAAACTTACTGTGATTTGGCTACGGAACCTATCATGCCAGTTACATAATAACAAAAAAAATTATACACGTATTTTTTATATTTCGTGATACAAAAACAAAAGTCTAAGAATCGTTCTATTGATATTCATACCTATGTTAATTTAATTAGTTCTGTAAGGTTATTTATTCCGGTGTCGTCACGCGTTCTTCAAGGAAAGCCAGGTCAATGTTGTCAACGTATATATTTTGGTAAAATAAAATAGGCGCAGTCCCACACAACCCTTTCCGCTTGGACGAAGGTGGCGGATGCAGTCCTCTTACCCAAAAAATTATACAATTATTGTGATAAAAGTATAATAGTGTCCGCGACTTGCTATGCAGTGGAGTCTCAAGTGACTATTCCAAGTAGGACGTAGCCCGAGAGTGCACCTTTTCATGTATAAAAAAGTACTCTGTGGTGCACCTTGATAGTAGCCTTCACTCTCAACACAAATGTACTGGCGGGGGTCATTAAGTCGCGAAGAATCTTAACACCGCCATGTAAAATATGACGTCATACGCACAACGGCATCTAGTATTGAATTGTGGAGTTATACAATATAAACGATGAAGTTCAGTATTGAAATAGGTTTTACATACATATTATAAATAGTTGTGTTACAGTTCTAGTTTTAATTTCTATATATTTTGACTTTATACAGTCACGCATAATTTTTAGAATGTTGGTTAGCTCGTAACTGGCTAATGTATATGGCCAACTGCCTATAACCAATACTTTAAACCACTTGTATACTTACATAAGCGGTGAGCGTACCTTATAATAAATAAATGAATAAATAAATGAATAAAAAAATAAATAAATAAATAAATAAATAAATAAATAAATAAATAAATAAATAAATATATAAATAAATAAATAAATAAATAAATAAATAAATAAATAAATAAATAAATAAATAAATATGTAGGGCGAGGATGGCCTTCATCAGAACTCATCTTGTGTGATGTATGTAGGTAGTTGGCAAAATCACAAGTCCTTATTATAATCACAGTTATTTAATCAGCACAGGGTTTAATAATTGAAGTACACAGTCTAATGATCAATTTATAGTCCAGTCAACGCGATACTAACTTAAACATTAAATTTAATTACGAATGAAATTCAAAGCGATTCGTCGTAAGCGTGGTGAGCGGGCGCCGACTCGAAAAACAACCGTCTCAAGATGGCCGCCCTCACAACCATCGACAATGACGCTTCGCTAGGCTGACTTTTAACAGCTTAAAAATCAACCTGACCTCTAACGTTGACGGATGCGCCGTCACGGCCGGACTGACATTCGACCGTCCTCGGGCGATTCTCTGAAACAATGAGTTGCAGTCGTACACAGTCCGTTCGGCATCCTGACGGACGACTAATTAGAATTATCACAATGCGCTATGATACTTAAGACTTAAGGCGAGTGTCTCGAAACAATTAAGCTGGATGACACAGCCTCGTCACTAAACAGCATGTAGGTTAACTGTTCACAATTGGTACTATTACATGAGTCAATCCTTTGGTGGATGTGACCTGGACGACAATATTCGTCTTACCAATCTGCAAAACATCCAGAACAAGTCAGCCAACTTAAAGGGTTCTGACTCGGACGACATGTTTCGTCTCATAGAACAAATGCACAGAGACAAGTCAATCTAATACTGACTCGGACGACATAGTTCGTCTGACTATTTGGCAGGAAAGAGATTCTTACAGGTCACTCCACTTACCTACGATTATGAATCATCCTGTTCTGTGTGAATTTCAGCTTCGTGCGACACTTCCCAAGTCTCAGGATCTGAGTATGTACTGAGAGTGTCTGAGCCTGCTGTGAGCGTCCTCGAATCGGCGGAAACAGTGTTTGAGCATACGGTCAAGGTGTCAGAGTTATCATTGTCATGATTTGAGTTAGTTATATTTTCTTCATCTTCCGACGCCGTCTCGGCCTCTTCACAATTTAAAAGACTAGTAGCTATTTCGAGCAAACCGATATGTCCCTGGGGCACTGCGCGCAAATTCTCGTGAGAGTATTTATAAGTTCTCTGAGAACTAAGCATCCATCACCATCATCATCTAAGCTTTTAAGTTCATAGCGATCATTTTCAAGTACTTCTACTATAACATATGGGCCTCGAAACTTCCTATCCAATTTCGTTTTATTCCGTTCACAATTTTTAATAAATACAAAGTCTCCTTTAGAGAAAGGTCTTATTGTGGCCCGGCTACGATTAAACCGAAGGGTATCAGATTCAGCAGCTTTGCAAATGTTAGCTGATGCATCAGTTCTTATCGAATCTAAATCTAAGCGAACCTCATGATCTATATTATCGGCGTTCAACTTACACATTCCTAAAGAATTGGAACGAATTCCAAACATTAGTTCTGACGGTGAGTATTTGGTAACGGAAGATTTAGAACTATTGAGAGCAAGTTGGATGTTACCTAATTCGTCACGCCACACTTTGTTAGGGTCGTTTTCAATGATAGTAAGGAGGCTTTTAAGA